ATATGCCAGGAGTGCTCTGATGGTGTTTCCTGCTTGGCAGGGGGTTGGACTCGATGGCCCTTGTGGTCTCTTCCAACTCTATGATTCTATGATTCTATGAGCACCTTGGAGGGTGACCTAGCTGTGGTTTCAGGGCTAGAGGTTTCAGGGGTGAATTTGGGGTGACCCAATGCAAAAATCCTGAGGATCCATAATGATCCGTGCTTTGTAACCACATTTTTTGCACCATCGCGGCCCCACGAAACAGTGGATGCGTGATTTTTTGGGTGCAGGCTGTAGCCATGGACATGCTATGTGATGTGATGCTGAATTTGGGGTGACCCAATGTAAAAATCCTGAGGATCCTTGGGCTTTTACCTCCCCCCTCCCAGGCAGCCTCCGCTAATGTCCCTTATCTCTCTCCCAATCCCACTGATCAGCTGCTTCCTTTCAACAGCCTTAATGTCTTTTCCTTAGCTGGAGCAGTTTTTTGCTCCTCCTTTTCTTCTAATTTCTCTCCTTATTGCTTTAGTCTTACTGTCTCCTCTCCTTGCAAGTTTGCTGTCTTTACCTCCCCCCTCCCAGGCAGCCTCCTTTATCTCTAGTGTCCCTTATCTCTCTCCCCAACTGGCAAACGATCAGCAGCTTTGTTTCAACACCCGCATCCCTCTTTCAAAAAAAGAAAAAGAAAAAAAAAAGCATGATCTCCATGTGGCTCCAGGGACCACACATTCGCTCCATAAGACGCACAGACATTTCCCCTTACTTCGGTGTTTTGCACAGGTGCAAAATGCCGGCACCCTGTCTACAACTTCATTAACACCCATCTCCAACTTCACTAGCATCTCTCAGTATTGTGAACAACACCAAACTTACCCTTTGTTGGTATCTTCATGAACTTACCTAAAAAGATAAAGGGGAAAAAAGACTGAGTTGAGTATTTGAAAAATCCATTGAAACCAGACATTCTAAGTTCATCTTAGGTTGGGTAGTTTGTAAGTCTCTGTGGCTTTGCACAAGGTTTTGTATTTTTCTCAGAAGACTGATAAAGAATGTATAATTATTTTGGTAATTATTGTGTGTATATTAGTCGCCAACGTGTTGCATGAGTCGTACTATTCTATGGTGTCTAGCATGCTCACAAACAATGATGGGGACCCAAGTTACAAGGAAGGAGATTCCAACTAAATATGAGGAAGAACTTCCTGGCTGTAAGAGCTACTCAGCTGTGGAACGGTCTCCCTCCGAAGGTTGTGCACCTTCCTACGCTGGAGATTGGATGGCCATCTGTCATGGATGCTTTAGTTGAGATTCCTACATTGCAGGGGGTTGGACTAGATGACCCTCGGAGTCCCTTCCAACTTGACAATTCTATGATTCTATGGCCTCTTGCTCCTCCACATGCTGTTGGGTACCAACTCTGAGCAGTCTCATGTAAAAAATGATGGCTCCGGAACGTTTAATCAAATTTACCCATCTCATTTCCCCATGTTTCCCTGTTCCTGCCCAAAAGCAGCCTGCTGTTCTCTTCTTCTTTTGATGGCAGTGTTGTGTCTCATTCAGGACTCGGAGCCCTCCTAAATCACCCTTTCAACCGTACGATGGGATGGCACAATAATAAAGATTATCATCCCCCTCGTAAAAGAGAAAAAGAGGGAAGGGAAAGAAGATAGACAAAGTGGGAGCTTTTGCCGTTACAAATTACAAGAGAATTAAATATGGTTAAACTTGAATCTGTTCTGGCAAAGCGCAGCAGTAAAAGGCCATTAAGCGGCTTGCCCATTTACAGAAAACATAACAGATAAAATTCATTTTTAATGGACTGTTTCCATGGCAACGTTCCTGAGCCAGACACGTTTTATAGCGCATCGAACAGCGCGGGTGCTTAAGATAATTGCAGCAGTCACTGTGTGGGGGACACTGTGGTTTGTGATATGTGTGTGTGTGCATGTCTGTAGTGTGTGTAAAAAACAGAACCTCAGAATATTGCCAGCTGGTCTAAAGCTGTTTTATTGTACTTGGGTTTTTCAGAGATTTTATCTGGCCACAGAGGAAAGTAGAGCCTCAAAGGATGGGCCACGTCAACCAAGGCTCTGTCCCTTAATAACCACAACCATAACAATAACAATAATAATAATAATAATTTGTACCCCGTCCATCTGGCTGGGTTTCCCCAGCCACTTTGGGCGGCTTCCAACAAAGATTAAAAATACATTAAAATATCACACATTAAAAACTTCCCTGAACAGGGCTGCCTTCAGATGTCTTCTGAATATCAAGTAGTTGTTTATCTCTTTGACATCTGGTGGGAGGGCATTCCACAGGGCGGGTGCCACTACGAGAAGGCCCTCTGCCTGGTTCCCTGTAGCTTTGCTTCTTGCAATGAGGGAACTGCCAGAAGGCCTTTGGAGCTGGATCTCAGTGTCCAGGCAGAACGATGGGGGTGGAGACACTCCTTCAGGTATACTGGGCCGAGGTCATTTAGGGCTTTCATTTTTTTTAAAAAATAATTTTTTATTAAAGTTTTAAACAAACAAAAAAGAAAAACAACACACACAAAAAACGATACAAAACTTAACAATATAAACACAAAACAATTAATAACAAACTCTCTTTTCCATTTCCAATTTTAAGTTACTTATTTTCTGGACTTCCTCATACCTCCCTCTTTTGTATTCCAATCCACATTATTTATCCAGCAGTTTCTTTTCCACTTTTTTAATCCCAATCTTTAATTTAATAAAATGTTAAAATATATAACTTCAACTTTTTTAAACCTATCCTTGATCTTAATATCCTGTAACTTTAAAGTTTCCCCTTTTAAAATCAAATTTCCATTTCTTTAAACTTCTTTAATCTTAATCTTTAATCTTAATCTATCCTTAACTTTAACCTGTGTAGCTGGAAACCACTTATTTTCAGTCCAACATCACTCTAACATTCCTTAATTTTGCAGTGTTTCTGAAGATAGTCTTTGAATTTCTTCCAGTCTTCCTCCATCGACTCTTCTCCCTGGTCACGGATTCTACCAGTCATTTCCGCCAATTCCATATAGTCCATAAGTTTCATCTGCCATTCCTCCAGCGTGGGAAGTTCTTGTGTTTTCCAATACCAGGACTAGCTGTCCAAATATATTACGAAGACAGTACCTCTCTTTCTTTCCTGAGATCTGGAGATCCTTTCCCAGGGAATTGAGTGGTGGTTCAATCCCTTCTTTTTCACTCTTTATGAAGAAATCACATCCACAATTCTCCCCCCTTTTCCCTCAATTTAGAAAGGGAAAAGTCCAGGTTGGATGATTGGATTAAAGTCCGCTATAACGTACTTTTCAATTGCTTCCGCTTTCAAGTTCAATGCTTTATTTTATCTACAAAGAAAGAGGTTGACTTCCTTTTTAAACCTCTTTCCGTTTTCGGCCAGATTCCAGTTTTGTACAGTTCCAATTTAGATTGTATCCTACTCACGGATCGTTGATTTTCAGGTCCGGATTTTAAGGAAGAAAGGCAGCGCTCTCCGGTCAACAGCTTGCGGCTTCACACCACGAACTAGCAGACAGCCCACAGCACAGCGCACTCCCCCGCTCCGCTTTCAAGCCCGTTACCGGGCTTCTTACCGGGTTGGGGGGGCGCCAAATGTGCCCGCTGGGTCCCAGGTTCACAGGCTTCCCCCGCCTGTGATTTTTAAGGGTCCCCCGCTGCGCCGAAGTGGGATCCGACCCTTTTTTTCGTAGCGCTAATTCCCTCTAACTGAGGGAATCCGCCATCGACCGCTGGCGCCGCCTCCGGAAGTCCATTTAGGGCTTTCAAGGTCAACACCAACAATTTGAATTGTGCTCAGAAATGTACTGGGATCCAATGTAGGTCTTTCAAGACCGGTGTTATGTGGTCCTGGCGGCCGCTCCCAGTCACCAGTCTAGCTGCCGCATTTTGGATTAGTTGCAGTTTCCGAGTCACCTTCAAAGGTAGTTCACGTAGAGCGCATTGCAGTAGTCCAAGAGTGAGATAACTAGAGCATGCAAAACTAGAGGATGGATCAAGCCAGTGGCCCATTGAGTCCAGAAACCTGGCCAACAAGATGCATCTTCTGGGAAACCAGCATGCACAATTTGAACACAAGAGCAACTCTCCCTCCTGCGGTTTCGAGCCACTGCTATTCAGAATCATCACTGCCTCTGACCGTGGAGGCAGAACATTGCCATCCTGGCTAGTAGCCATGGAGAAACTTCTCCTCCATGAATTGGTCTAATCCTCTTTTATAAAGCCATCCAAGTTGGTGGCCTTCACTTCCACTTGTCTCAAGGCATCATGGTTGGAGCGGACCTCAGGATTAGCCCTCCCAAAAACTGAGAGATGTCGGCCATCGCAATAAAATTGCTCAAACTTTAACCTTACCTCTCGTTGCATTATTCTTTTTTTTTAATAATATTTTTTATTAATTTTAACATATAAATTATAAAATGTACCACAAAACTTATCACTTATACAATCTTTTTAGACTTCCATCAGCACCTCTGATGATCCACCGTTTTAACCACTTCTTATGCATTTCTTAACTTTATATTGCCTTTACATCTCTTAACAAATCATCCTCCCCTTGTCCATTTTTACAATACTTCTAATAATACTCCTCACAAAACTTCTTGCAACCCTACAAACATCGTCTGTTCTTCACAATTACTTTTCAAATATTCCGTAAATTTACTCCAATCTTCCGTGAATTTCTGGTCTCGCCGGTTTCGAATCCTTCCTGTTAGTTTATCTAACTCTGCATAGTCCATTAACTTCATCCTCCATTCTTCAATCGTCATTGCATTATTCATAGTTAAACGCAGAGACTCCACATAGAACCAAGGCTGAGATCCTGATAGAAACAAATATTTTGGATATTTATTAAGGTTTTTGAAATATTACAGTGAGAATGAAAAAGAAAAAAGAAAAATACAAAATAAAAACAGTTAAAAACACACATATTTTCTATTACTTATTTTCCTTTAGCTTGTTTCCCGGACCTCCTCGTACCTCCCTTTTTTTGTATTCCACTTCAATTTATTGGTTCAGCAAATCCTTACCATTAGATTTTAACCCATTTATAACCCTTTTTTCATATTCTCTTAAAGCATTACAGCTGGAAACCGCTTAATTACTATCCAACATCATTCTATCATTCATTAATTTTACAATATTTCTGTAAATAGTCTTTAAATTTCTTCCAATCTTCTTCCACCGACTCTTCTCCCTGGTCTCGGATTCTGCCAGTCATTTCTGCCAGTTCCATATAGTCCATCACCTTCATCTGCCATTCTTCCAAAGTGGGTAGATCTTGTGTCTTCCAATACTTTGCAATGAGTATTCTTGCTGCTGTTGTAGCATACATTTAACAAGTTCTGTCCTTCTTTGGCACCACTTGGCCGACAATGCCCAGAAGAAAGTCCTCTGGTTTCTTCAAGAAGGTATATTTAAATACCTTTTTCAGTTCATTATATATCATTTCCCAGAAAGCCTTAATCCTTGGGCACGTCCACCAAAGGTGAAAGAATGTACCTTCAGTTTCTTTACATTTCCATCATTTATTGTCGGGCAAATGGTAGATTTTTGCAAGCTTGACTGGGGTCATGTACCACCTGTATATCATTTTCATAATATTCTCTCTTAGGGGCATTACATGCCGTAAACTTCATACCTGTGGTCCATAACTGTTCCCAGTCAGCAAACATAATATTATGTCCAACATCTTGTGCCCATTTAATCATAGCCGATTTCACCGTTTCATCCTGAGTATTCCATTTCAACAGCAAGTTATACATTCTTGACAAATTCTTAGTTTTGGGTTCTAACAGTTCTGTTTCTAGTTTTGATTTTTCCACCTGGAAGCCAATTTTCTTATCCAAATTATATGCCTCCATTATCTGATAATAATGAAGCCAATCTCTCACTTTATTTTTAGTTTCTCGAAACTCTGCAATTTCAATTTGTCTCCTTCTTGTTCCAAAATTCCCAATATTTCGGCCATTTGGCCTCCATATTGAGCTTTTTCAGAGCTTTCGCTTCCATCGGTGACAACCACCTTGGGGTTTTATTTTCCAATAAATCCTTGTATCTTATCCAAACATTAAACAGTGCTTTCCTAACAATATGATTTTTAAATGCTTTATGTGCTTTGACCTTATCATACCGTAAATATGCATGCCATCCAAATACGTTGTTAAAACCTTCTAAATCCAAAATGTCTGTATTTTCAAGAAGTAGCCATTCTTTCAACCAGCAAAAAGCTGCTGATTCATAATAAAGTTTAAAGTCTGGCAGGGCAAATCCACCTCTTTCCTTTGCATCAGTTAATATCTTAAATTTTATTCTGGGCTTCTTGCCCTGCCAGACAAATCTAGAAATATCTCTCTGCCACTTCTTGAAACAGTCCATCTTGTCCACAATTTGCAATGTCTGAAACAAAAACAACATTCTAGGCAATACATTCATTTTTATCACAGCAATACGGCCCAGCAGTGAGAGTTTCAAATTTGACCAAATTTCTAAATCTTTTTTCACTTCCAACCAACATTTTCATAATTATCTTTAAATAAGTTCCCATAGAACCAAGGCTGAGATCCTGATAGAAACAAATATTTTGGGAAGCAAAACCTCATCAATGCAAAACCTTGGTTCCAGAATTCAATTTTGCCATCTGAAAGCCATCTTCTCCCTCTCTTTCTCTCTCCCCACCCCCCCGCAACTTATTGAAAACTTCAGAATGTGGAAAGAATGCACGTGGCAACACTTGTCTCCTCCATGAATTTGCCTGATCCTTTTTTAAAGCCATTCAGGTTATTGGTCACTTTTGCCTCCTGTGGCAGGGAGTTCCATAGATTACCTGTGTGCTGCACAAAGAACTACTTCCTTTTATGTGTCCTGAATCTTCCAACCTTCACCATAGAGCAGTAGGTTCATTTTAAAAAAACAACAACAAAAAGGTACCAAGTCTGCCCGCATATTTCTTTTCGGGGCATTGGTCGCGACTGGGATATGCTGGTATTGAAGGCCTCTCCTCCCCTCAGAGGGAAGGGGTTGTGGGCGGGAGCAGCTTCCCGTGGCGGCAGGGAGGCGTGCTCAGCTCCCTGCTCCTGATTGCTTCTGCTGCCACGGCCAAGCCTTCCAGCCGACCAATAGGGCTGGCTGGTGGGCGGGGCTAGCCACATTTAAACGGCCTCAGCAGTGCTCAGCTCCCAGTTTCTTCGGATCTCCCACCCTCCGTCCCTCTTAGGTCAGCTTCTTTTGCATATTGACCTTACTATGGACTTCGGTTGGTTGCCTTGGTTGCCCAAGGGGCCTGGTTGAACTTTTTTTTATCCATTTGGCAAATTGGCACCAGCCTCTTGGTTTTTTCGCCTGTTGTTGTTGTTGTTTAGTCGTTTAGTCGTGTCTGACTCTTTATGACCCCATGGACCAGAGCATGCTGGGCACTCGTGTCTTCCACTGCCTCTCGCATTTTGGTCAAAGTCATATTGGTCTCTTTGAGAACACTGTCCAACCATCTCGTCCTCTGTCGTCCCCTTCTCCTCGTGCCCTCCATCTTTCCCAACATCAGGGTCTTTTCCAGGGAGTCTACTCTTCTCATGAGGTGGCCAAAGTCTTGGAGCCTCAGCTTCAGGATCTGTCCTTCCAGTGAGCACTCAGGGCTGATTTCCTTCAGAATGGATAGGTTTGATCTTCTTGCAGTCCATGGGACTCTCAAGAGTCTCCTCCAGCACCAGAATTCAAAAGCATCCATTCTTCGGCGATCAGCCTTCTTGATGGTCCAGCTCTCACTTCCATACATCACTACTGGGAAAACCATGGCTTTAACTATACGGACCTTTGTCGGCAAGGTGATGTCTCTGCTTTTTACTTTTTTTGCCTACCTTGTAGCAATTCGTCACAACTTTCTGGTATTGGCAGTTAGGCATTCTGGTCCATGGGACCACGAAGAGTCGGACACGACTAAACGACTAAACGACAACAACAACAGCAACATAATCCTATGTAGGTGGAGGGTCCTCGACTCACAAAAAGTTCTGAGGATGCTGAGGAATCAAGGACCCCCTTTGGGAGCCTCTGGCTACACGCCACATTTGACTTTTCTTGCGAACAGGACTTTGTAAGGGTTGCTCTCCCTGAAGGCTTCTGAGCGAGTGGTGGGAGGTGAGCGCCAAGCCAGGCTCCTTGTTAGCGAAAGGTCATCGGCGTTCCCCCACGTGGCCTGGCGCTTCTGCTTTTGTCCGGCTGACACTCAACGCAGCAGCGGAAGGGAGTTGCTCTAATGCAAAGCGACAGCTTGGAACTGAGAAAATTTCCTCCTGTCAGAGAGACTAAGTGGTCAGGCTGTGCCTTCAGGCTTGGCTGGGCCGAGATGCTGGCAGAGTTATTAGTTTTCAAAGATGGCTCGCAGAAAACGGTCTGCTTCGCTTCCTGCTCTCTCTGTGATCATGGATACATGATCTGTCTCTTCGCGAGGGATCTGCTCCTACTCTCCCCCCATCCCAGAGCTGTTTGGCTGCCTTCTTAGGGTCAGTTTCTTGGGGGTGGCTGAGCGCTGGAGACGTTATATTGGGAATGTTCAGGGATGCAGGAGAGGATATATTGTTTGATTATATCTTTTTCCAACTTGTGTTAACAAGTTCACAATTTAGCAGAGTAACATCCCCTTTTTAAACTTGCAGCGGATGCGTTTGCTCAGGCTCACTAAAGCCTCTATAATAACTGTTGTAGTATTTCCCCCCTTTTTCCCTCATAAAAGATAAGACATGACACAGTCTTCTATAAAAGTATAAAAAGGTTTACTCACACATCATTCTGTTCACAATAGGATCCCAGAAGGCAGACTTAGCTTACAAAAGTAACATATACCTCATAAGGAGACAGTCCCTTTGTCCTCTCTTGGCTAGAGGCCAAGAGAGCATCTTTGGCTAAGCAGATGTTGCTTCTTTGATGCATGTAGTCAAAGAGAGAGAGATGGCTGCCCTGCCCTGTGCTTTTGTCATTACCTGCACAGGTGAGGCCACACCCACCTCCAGTCACATGCAGAGGAAGTCTGTCCCAGCCCAGAAGGAAACAGGAAGTTTACCTGCTGGCTGAACAAACATTCCTCCCATGTTTAAACATGTTCAGTCTAGGAATGTTGACTGCTCTTGCTTTCACATCCCACAGTAATGGAGTCTTCATGCAAGGGGCAGTGAACCTTTTCATCCCAAGAGAGCCACATTCCTTCCTGGACAGTCTTGGCTGTGGTGGGTGGGGCCAGAAGCAAAAGTGGGTGGAGCAATGCTTTTTAAAAGCCAATCCAATTGGTCCTTGATAATAAGGAATGAGAAAGTCCACGGTGGATCCGATAGGCAGGGCTCTGCCTACTTCCTGCTTGGTTTGTCGATGCCATCCAATTCCAACCTCAAAAGAATTATCTGATTTTCTTATGGCAGACAGTCTCAGTCTCAAACTTCCTAAGCTGTATCACTTTCAGGTGGTCACAATTGCATGGCAGAAACGGGATACCTGGCAGAGAATTCAACATTCTTTTGTAAAAACCCTGCTCACTTTTCATTTTTTTAAAAAAAATTTAAAAAGTCAAGTCAAAGAATGGGATTAAGAGCAGCATGGGAGGAAAGCTGGAAAGTCAAAGTTTAAAGGGAAACGTAGAAGAAATTTGAAATCTGGAATGTATATGTCAATATTTTAAAATTTAATTGAAAAATTGACATTAGGGGAGAAAGAGTCAAGCTGGTGCTGACTTTTAAAGCCCTAAATGGCCTCGGTCCAATATACGACATTTTTTGCTCTATAAGATGCACCAGACCACAAGACGCACCTAGTTTTGGGAGGAGGAAAACAAGAAAAAAAATATTCTGAATCTCAGAAGCCAGAACAGCAAGAGGGATCGCTGCGCAGTGAAAGCAGCGATCCCTCTTGCTGTTCTGGCTTCTGGGATAGCTGCGCAGCCTGCATTCGCTCCATAAGACGCACACATTTCCCCTTACTTTTTAGGAGGGAAAAAGTGAGTCTTATAGAGCAAAAAATACAGTACAGTGGTGCCTCGCAAGACGAAATTAATTCGTTCAGTGAGTTTTTTCGTCTAGCGAATTTTTCGTCTTGCGAAGCACGGTTTCCCATAGGAATGCATTGAAATTCAATTACTGCGTTCCTATGGTCAAAAAAAGTCCAAACAAAGCCAAATTTGGTACAACAATAGTTTATTAACTGCTCTTTAAAGTCACACATACTTTAAAGAGCATTTCAAAAATTGAAGGAACAATAAATTAAGTTTCTAAACATGACAGAAAAACATTTAAAAATCAACAAAGTGTACTGTACATACATTTTCTAAGACTCTGGGGGACCACTCAAAGAAGGTTCCTCTTCCTCTCTTTGCTTCTTGCTGAGGAACCTGTCCATGGTCTGCTGCTTCATCCGCCTTTTCAGCAGCTCCCTGAGAGGCAACATGACCGTCAGTATCAAAAGTGTTCGCTTGGTCATGTGCCACGTGCTTGTCAGGGTGGTGCCGCTCTGCAAAGCCTTCACCTCCTTCCACTTCTGGCAAATGTCCCTCAGTTCTTTGGAGGACAGCCGTTCCTCAGTTGCTTCCTCCTCTTCCAGCGAGGCCTGCTCCTGCGCAACCTCTGCCTGCAGTTCAACCAGCTCCTGGGTGGTCAGCTCGTGGTCGTGCTCCTCCACCAGCTCGCTGACGTCCTCCTCTGTGACCTCCAGGCCCATGGTCCTCCCCAAGGCAACAATGTCCTGCACCACTGTTGACTCTGGTGCATCAGAGTCACTTGGTGCCACACAGTCCGGCCACAGGCTGCGCCAAGCGCAATTCAAATTTCTCTGGCTGATCCCGTTCCAGGCCGTGGTGATCATCTTCAAGCAGGTGACGATGTCGAAGTGGTCCTTCCAGAATTCCCGCAGGGTGATGGTGGTGCAATCAGTCACCTTGAAGCATCGCCTGAAAAGCTCCTTGGTGTAGAGTTTTTTGAAATTGGTGATGACCTGCTGATCCATCGGCTGGAGCAGTGGCGTGGTGTTAGGCGGCAGGAACATGATGTTGATGAAGCTGAACTCCTCCAACAAGTCCACCTCAAGGCCTTTAGGATGAGCAGGAGCATTGTCCATCAGAAGCAAAGCCTTCAGCGGCAGGTCGTTGTCCAGCAGGTACTGTTTGACAGCAGGGCCAAAAGCAAGATTGACCCAGTCCACAAACAGCACACGTGTGACCCAAGCCTTGCTGTTGGATCGCCACATGACACTCAGCCGCTCCTTGTCGACCTTGTGTTTCTTGAAGGCCCATGGGTTCTCCGAGTGGTACACCAGCAGGGGCTTGATCTTCAGGTCGCCGCTTGCGTTGACACAGAAGAGCAGGGTCAGGCGGTCCTTCATGGGCTTGTGGCCAGGCAACTTGGCCTCCTCCTGTGTGATGAAAGTCCTTTTGGGCATCCTCTTCCAAAACAGCCCGGTCTCGTTGCAGTTGAAGACCTGCTGTGGAACGTAGCCCTCCGTCTTCACAACCTCCAGGAACTCCAAGGCAAAGTCTTCAGCCGCAGGAACATCAGAACTGGCAGCCTCTCCATGCCTGACCACGCTGTGGATTCCAGATCTTGCCTTGAACCGGTCAAACCAGCCTCTGCTTGCCTTGAAGACTTCTGGCTCGCCTGAGGTTCCTGGCTGTTCCCGGATGAGGTCTGCGTGCAAGGCCTTGGCCTTTTCACAAATCACGGCCTCAGTCACTGTGTCCCCTGCACGCTGCTTCTCTTCTAACCAGATGAGCAGCAACTTCTCGACCTCCTCCAGAACAGCTGGGCGGTTCTTCACGATCCTTTTTTTTTTTTAATTAATATTTATTAAAGTTTCAGAAATAATAAAATCACATTAATAAACAAGAAAAATTTTAACAAAAACAGAGAAAAATACACCATACAAAATACAAAATACAAAATAGAAAAAAGAAAAAAAAAGAAAAAAGAAAAAAGAAAAAAACAGTTAAAAATAGTTCCGTCTTTTCATAACTTCTTTTACATTTACTTGTTTCCCGGACTTCCTCATACCTCCCTCTTTTGTATTCCAATTCAGTTTGTAAGCCCAGCAATTTCTTTCCCTCCTTTTTAATTCCAATCCTAAATCTTAATATATTATGACATTAGATTTTTACCTATTTAGAACCAATTTTTCCATTTCTCTTAACCTTTTTGATCCTAATCCTTAATCTTGATATATTTATAGCTTTAAAACCTGTACAGCTAGAAGCCACTTAACTTCAATCCAACATCACTCTAACATTCATTAATTTTGCAATGTTTCTGTAAATAATCTTTAAATTTCTTCCAATCTTCTTCCACCAACTCTTCTCCCTGGTCACGGATTCTGCCAGTCATTTCCGCCAATTCCATGTAGTCCATCATTTTCATCTGCCATTCCTCCAGTGTGGGTAGCTCTTGTGTCTTCCAATACTTTGCGATGAGTATTCTTGCTGCTGTTGTAGCATACATAAAGAAAGTTCTGTCCTTTTTAACACCGATTGGCCGACTATGCCCAGGAGAAAGGCCTCTGGTTTCTTCAAGAAGGTATATTTAAATACCTTTTTAATTCATTATATATCATCTCCCAGAAAGCCTTAATCTTTGGGCACGTCCACCAAAGGTGGAAAAATGTACCTTCAGTTTCTTTACATTTCCAACATTTATTATCGGGCAAATGGTAGATTTTTGCAAGCTTGACTGGGGTCATGTACCACCTGTATATCATTTTCATAATATTCTCTCTTAGGGCATTACATGCCGTGAACTTCATACCTGTGGTCCATAACTGTTCCCAGTCAGCAAACATAATATTATGTCCAACATCTTGTGCCCATTTAATCATAGCAGATTTCACCGTTTCATCCTGAGTATTCCATTTCAGCAGCAAGTTATACATTCTTGACAAATTCTTAATTTTGGGTTCTAATAGTTCTGTTTCTAATTTTGATTTTTCCACCTGGAAGCCAATTTTTTTGTCCAAAATGTATGCCTCCATTATCTGATAATAATGAAGCCAGTCTCGCACTTTATTTTTTAGTTTTTCAAAACTCTGCAGTTTCAATCTATCACCATCTTGTTCTAAAATTTCCCAATATTTCGACCATTTGACCTCCATATTGAGCTTTTTCAAAGCTTTCGCTTCCATCGGTGACAGCCACCTTGGGGTTTTATTTTCCAATAAATCCTTATATCTTATCCAAACATTAAATAAAGCTTTCCTGACAATATGATTTTTAAATGCTTTATGTGCTTTGACCTTATCATACCACAAGTATGCATGCCATCCAAATACATTGTTAAAACCTTCTAAATCCAAAATGTCAGTGTTTTCAAGAAGCAGCCATTCTTTCAACCAGCAAAAAGCTCCTGATTCATAATAAAGTTTAAGGTCTGGCAGGGCAAATCCACCTCTCTCCTTTATATCTGTTAGTATTTTAAATTTTATTCTGGGCTTCTTGCCCTGCCAGACAAATCTAGAAATATCTCTCTGCCACCTCTTGAAACAGTCCATTTTGTCCACAAATGACTCCCTTGGCTGCATCAGTCGCAAGGATCTTCTCCCTCATCTTCATGATGGTCCCGATGGTCGATGGGTTCCTGCCGTACTCCCTGGCGAGGTCCATCGCACGCATTCCACCATCGTGCTTCCGGATGATCTCCTTCTTCATTTCCAGCGTCACCTTCTCCTTCTTCCTCTCGCTGGACTCCGCAGCAGCAGCAGTCTTCTTGGGTCCCATGGCAGCACAGCTCTTACCTTCGTAAACTCAGAAAAAGGAAAAAAACCCCAGCAATTCAAACCCAGAACCAAGTCCTTGAATTCCAAACACCCAACCCAAAATCCAAAAACCCCCCAAAAAGTTTTAAAAGTTTAACTTACGAAATGGCTGCAAATCACCAAAGTCTTCAAAATCCTCAAATGGCTGCAAAAGAAGTTTTGGGAAAGCTTTAAAAATCACCAAAGTCTTCAAAAACCTCAACTGTTCCCCCAGCCCCTCCCCAACTGTTGCAAACCCCTCCTCAACTGTTCCCCCAGCCACCCAGCACACAGAAATTCAAAACCCAGAATTTTTTTTCAAAAAAACAACATGGCCCAATGGTCACAGAAAACCATAAAAATGCAGAAAAAACCACACAAGCTCCCAGATTCTTGCAAACCTCTCCCCATCACCAAGTCCTTGAATTCTAAACACCCCAACCCAAAATCCAAACCCCCCCAAAAAAGTATTAAAAGTTTAACTTACCAAACAGCTGCAAAAGAAGTTTTGGAAAAGCTTCAAAAATTCAGCAAACTCTTTAAAAAGCTCAAAAAGGCCACCACACCGCGTGCAATGTGTTGCTCCTCGAAGTCAAGTCGCAACTGCACCTCTTCAAGCAATGCACCCTGGGTATTAACGGTTTTACGAAAAAGGAAACAAACTTGCAAGACGTTTTCGTCTTGCGAAGCGAGCCCATAGGGAAATTCGTCTTGCGAAGCAACTCGAAAATGAAAAAATCTTTCGTCTTGCGAGTTTTTCGTCTTGCGAGGCGTTCGTCTTGCGGGGCACCACTGTACCTGAAGGAGCGTCTCCACCCCCATCATTCTACCCGGACACCGAGGTCCAGCACCGAGGGCCTTCTGGCGGTTCCCTCGCTGCAAGAAGCCAAGTTACAGGGAAGCAGGCAGAGGGCCTTCTCGGTAATGGCGCCCTCCCTGTGGAACACCCTCCCACCAGATGTCAAAGAGAACAACAACTACCAGACTTTTAGAAGACATCTGAAGGCAGCCCTGTTTAGGGAAGCTTTTAATGTTTAATAGACTATTGTATTTTAATATTCTGTTGGAAGCCGCCCAGAGTGGCTGGGGAAACCCAGCCAGATGGGCGGGGTATAAATAATAAATTATTATTATTATTATTATTATTATTATTATTCATTTTCATTGTTTCAGGATTCAGCAGCTTGTGTGTGCATGTTACACAGAGTACACCCAGCTTTTGGGCTCAGGTTTTGCTTGCGGGCTTCCCAGGAGAGGCATCTGGTTGGGCTGCTGTGAGAACAGGACGCTGGAGTAGATGGGCCATTGGCCTGATCCAGCCTCCAGACACTTCTTATGTTCTTTACATATCTGCTTCTTCGATATGCTGCTCCCACGTAAGACAGAGAGTGTGCTAGAGTGGAGGGGGGAGAAGGAAGGTAAAGGTAAAGGGACCCCTGACCATTAGGTCCAGTCGTGACCGACTCTGGGGTTGCAGTGCTCATCTCGCTTTATTGGCCGAGGGAGCCGGTGTACAGCTTCCGGGTCATGTGGCCAACAGGACTAAGCCACTTCTGGCGAACCAGAGCAGCGCACGGAAACGCCGTTTACCTTCCCGCTGGAGTGGTACCTATTTATCTACTTGCACTTTTATGTGCTTTCGAACTGCTAGGTTGGCAGGAGCAGGGACCGAACAATGGGAGCTCACTCCATCGCGGGGATTCGAACCGCCGACCTTCTGATCAGCAAGTCCTAGGCTCTGTGGTTTAACCCACAGTGCCACCCGTGTCCCGTGTCCATAGAGTGGAGGGGGGAAAAGGAAAGGCTTATGCAAAAGGAGACCTGGAGCCACGCAGCAGGGCTACCGGAATACAGATTGCCTGAGTTTATTTTTAGCTGGCAGCTCTATCTGCAGGGAGGCAGATACTGGGCAGACAAAAGGAGGAGCGAACTCTTACAATCCCCCCTGCAGGTAGAAGTTGAAAAGTTGAGCATCAGGATGCAGGCTTCAGCGGGAAGCGTGGGCGATGCTCAGATCCCAGAGCCTTTCCCATCCATCTGCTGTCTTCTTTACTGCAACCCTCGATGCTGGAGGGCAACTGAGAGGCGTCTTTCACTTTATAGAAAACACAAACAATGGGGGCGTCTCTGGGGAGAGCTTTGGATGTTGCAACAATCAGGAACTCGCGAGAGGCTCATTCCTTTTGACGCATCAAGGGGTTGTTTCTAGTGGCAAGGGGACAAATTGTACATCTGCTGCAAGCAAAACACAAACCTGTGTCCCCCCCCCCCCCCGTGCACTCCTTCCTCCTAAAGCTTGTTAATGCCACAGGACATATTGGCTTTTTAAAAAAGAAACACACACACACACACACACATATATACTACAACTTCAGGGAGAGAGAGAGAGAGAGAGAGGATTTCTTTCACAGCATTTTCCTCAGAATAAAGAAACCTGCCTTAACCTAACTCAGGCTTTTGGTCCTAAGTGTGGGAATGTTCAGGGTGGCAGGAGAGGATATATTGTTTATTAATATCCTTCCTAACCTGCACTTGCAGGTTCCTTTACTTAGCAGAGTTTACATTCCCCTTCTCACGCACAGCAGATAACTACAGTGGTACCTCGGGTTAAGAACTTACGGTAATTGGTTCTGGAGGTCTGTTCTTAACCTAAACTGTTCTTAACCTGAGGCACCACTTTAGCTAATGGGGCCTTCTGCTGCCACCGCACGATTTCTGTTCTCATCCTGAAGCAAAGTTCTTAACCCGAGGTAATATTTCTGGGTTAGTGGAGTCTGTAACCTGAAGCGCCTGTAACCTGAAGCGTCTATAACCTGAAGCATATGTAACCTGAGGTACCACTGTAGTTGCAAACTTGTGTGAGCTTCCTAAGACAATACAGTGGTACCTCGGGTTAAGAACTTAATTCGTTCTGGAGGTCCGTTCTTAACCTGAAACCGGTCTTAACCTGAGGTACCACTTTAGCTAATGGGGCCTCCTGCTGCCACTGCCCCCCCGGAGCACGATTTCTGTTCTCATCCTGAAGCAAAGTTCTTAACCCGAGGTACTATTTCTGTGTTAGTGGAGTCTGTAACCTGAAGAGTCTGTAACCCGAGGTACCACTGTACACAATTCAGTCTGGATTGCCAGAGGTGATGGGACACAGACATGGGTGAAACCAAAACATTCCCACACTTGTTCACACAGCCTAACAAATGCTGCTTGGGGTACTTATCTGCAAAAGCAGGTGTGCTGTTTTAGCCTGGTGGATCTGAATCTCTGCTGCGTATTATTAATTGCTTACAATAGGCTTCACCGCTCCTCCTCTTTTCATAGCACTGCAATGCAGAGCTCAATATTTGTGAACATTGGAGGTAGGGTACATTGGCCCAGCTTTGCCAAAGTAACCAGGCTTGCCTGATAAAACTCATGGTCCAGAGATTCCTCATCCCTTATTGAGCTGCTGAGGTTCTTCTGAAATAATAGCTTCATTAACTTGCAAACAGGCCCAGGATTTTGCAGAGGAATGCTGTACTGTCCTTGTCGTTTTATTTCATAGAATGTATACACCACTTGACGGGACGCGGGTGGCGCTGTGGGTTAAACCACAGAGCCTAGCACTTGCCGATCAGAGGGTCGGCGGTTCGAATCCCCGCAACGGGGTGAGCTCCCGTTGCTCGGTCCCTGCTCCTGCCAACCTAGCAGTTCGAAAGCACATAAAAGTGCAAGTAGATAAGTAGGTACGTCTCTGGCGGGAAGGTAAACGGCATTTCCGTGCACTGCTCTGGTTTGCCAGAAGCGGCTTGCTGGCCACATGACCCGGAAGCTGTACGCCGCCTCCCTCGGCCAATAAAGTGAGATGAGCGCCGCAACCCCAGAGTTGGTCACGACTGCACCTAATGGTCAGGGGTCCCTTTATACACCGCTTGAATTACAAAATAAGAAGATGAAACAACAAAACTATCACTCAGAAAAATTAACAACAATATTGTAAGACCTTTGAAAAGTTTAACTAACCATGGACCAAAAACAGATTAAAATTCAGATCAATCTTCTAAACATCTGGATAGGTTTGTCTAAACAAGAATACTTTTTAGCAGGAGCTGAAAAGAGTACAGGAATGGTGTCTACCAGATATCAATAGGTAAAGGTAAAGGTACCCCTGCCCGTACGGGCCAGTCTTGACACACTCTAGGGTTGTGCGCTCATCTCACTCTAGAGGCCGGGAGCCAGCGCTGTCCGCAGACACTTCCGGGTCACGTGGCCAGCGTGACGAAGCTGCTCTGGCGAACCGGCACCAGAGCAGCACACGGAACGCCGTTTACCTTCCCGCTATAAAGCGGTATTTATTTATCTACTTGCACTTTAAGAGTGCTTTGAACTGCTAGGTGGGCAGGAGCTGGGACCGAACGACGGGAGCTCACCCTGCCGAGGGGATTCGAACCGCCGACCATGCGATTGGCAAGTCCTAGGCGCTGAGGTTTTACCCACAGCGCCACCCACGTCCCGATGTCAATAGGTAGGGAGTTCCAAAGGTGCTGTCACACTAAAAGATTGATTTCTTACCAATGCAGAATGGATATTATGTGGCACCTGTAATGGTGCCAATTCTGCGGATCAAAGTGGCCAAGTGGGCCCATATGGGGTAAGGTGATCTCGTGAGTAAACGGATCCTGAGTTTGTTACCTTGATCTGGCAAACACCAGCCTTGGAATGGCTACCTGTTGCCAACAGCACTGTGAGGAAGACAATGGCAGCAAGGGAAGTATGGAGTTTCTGGCAGATGAAATTGATGGAAAATGCAGAATTGGCCAAAACTGGTGGGGAAGATCAGAAAGCAAGAAGATCAAGTATCTGTTAAGAGACTGGAGTAAATTTGTAGTTTATTTAAAAACCATTGTAAACAGTTAAAATCATTGGTAGCATTGTAATGACATTTGTAATGTGAAATTGATTATGACAACATTTTGGAGGCCCCAGGTCGCAAGGTGGTTAGATTGGTCTCAACTAGGGCCAGGGCCTTTTCAGTACTGGCCCCGACGTGGTGGAACACTCTGTCACGAAAGACTAGGGCCCTGCGGGACTTGACATCTTTCCGCAGGGCCTGCAAGACAGAGCTGTTCTGCCTGGCCTTTGGTTTGGACTCAGTCTGACCCTTATGTTTCCCGCCCCTTATGGTTTTGATCTATGGGCTACTATTAAAATGAGGCTGCATTTTGAATTGTATTTTAACCTGTATTTTAAATTGGGTTTTTCCCCCTATTATGTTTTTACTGTAATTTTTACTGGTGTTAGCTGCCCTGAGTCTGGCTCTGGCAGGAGAGGGTGGGGTATATATAAAATTATTATTATTATTATTATTATTATTATTATTATTATTATTATTATTTAGGGATATATGGATATATAACAACTGGAAAAAGCATAAGATGCAAAAAAAATATATTTTATGATAGATGAACCCAGGGGAGGGAGGGCAGGAAGTCTGAAGGTTCAGAGAACCTTGTAATTTGATATATGAATATATGAATGATATATGAATTGGTTAGAGCTATATGAATTTGGTTAGAGCTAAAATGTATAAAAGGGACGCGGGTGGCGCTGTGGGTAAAACCTCAGCGCCTAGGACTTGCCGATCGCATGGTCGGCGGTTCGAATCCCCGCGGCGGGGTGCGCTCCCATCGTTCGGTCCCAGCGCCTGCCAACCTAGCAGTTCGAAAGCACCCTTAAAGTGCAAGTAGATAAATAGGGACCGCTTACCAGCAGGAAGGCAAACGGCGTTCCGTGTGCTGCGCTGGCTCGCCAGATGAAGCTTCGTCATGCTGGCCACGTGACCCGGAAGTGTCTGCGGACAGCGCTGGCCTATAGAGTGAGATGAGCGCACAACCCTAGAGTCTGGCAAGACTGGCCCGTATGGGCAGGGGTACCTTTACCTTTACCTTTAAAATGTATAAAAATGTGAAAACTAATAAAAATTCATATCTGAAAAGTATGGAGTTTCGCCATTGTTTTGGCAGCCTGAGACCCAGACGCTCTTTATCCTATAAGCTGCTGCCTGAACACAGCAGGGATCAGGGTCCATTTGCTCTTCTACTTTTGTCTTTAGGGAGTGGAACCTTTCAACTTCCCGAAAGATAAAACATTCATGATGCCATGCAATCACATAAATATTGAACGTTTCCCCCCTCCCTTGAAAGACTTTGTCTGGCACGTGTCATTGAGTCACAACCAAGACTTTGGAATACAGGCAGAAATGCGCTGCTTGTCACGCAACCTAGAATCATAGAATTATAGTTAGAAAGGGCCCTCAAGGGGCATTTAGTCTGACCCGCCTGCAATGCAGGAATCACAGCTGAAGGATTCCTGACAGATAGTCACCCAACCTCTATTTGATGGATTCCGTTCCACTGTCGAACAGCTCTTACCCTCAGAGAGTTCTTCCTGACGTTTAGTCGCAATCTCCTTTTTACTTGTGAGTAAGACTCCTTACTTGTGAGTAAGACTCCTAGGGACGTGGGTGGCACTGTGGGTTAAACCACAGAGCATAGGGCTTGCCGATCAGAAGGTCGGCGGTTCGAATTCCCTCGATGGGGTGAGCTCCCGTTGCTCGGTCCCTGCTCCTGCCAACCTAGCAGGATTCCTTTACCTGTGAGTAAGACTCCTAGGGACGTGGGTGGCACTGTGGGTTAAACCACAGAGCCTAGGGCTTGTCGATCAGAAAGTCAGCGGTTCGAATCCCTGTGATGGGGTGAGCTCCCGTTGCTCGGTCCCTGCTCCTGCCAACCTAGCAGTTCGAAAGCACGTCAAAGTGCAAGTAGATAAATAGGTACCACCCAGGCGGGAAGGTAAACGGCATTTCCGTGCGCTGCTCTGGTTCACCAGAAGCAGCTTAGTCATGCTGGCCACATGACCCGGAAGCTGTACGCTGGCTCCCTCGGCCAATAAAGCGAGATGAGCACCACAACCCCAGGGTCGGCCACGACTGGATCTAATGGTCAGGAGTACCTTTACCCTTTAAGACTTCTTCACTGCCAGAAGCTGTGGCCTGGATGTGTTTTAGGAGACCAGAGCATATAAGCCTCTCAGTTGCTGGCGAAGGATGTTAGGAGTTGGAGTCAAAAACATCTGGAAGTGACCAGATGCTTGGAAGTTTGGTCTACACCAGTGATGGCCAAACTTGGCCCTCCAGCTGTTTTGGGACTACAATTCCCATCATCGCTAGCTAGCAGGACCAGTGGTCAGGGATGATGGGAACTGTAGTCCCCAAGCAGCTGGAGGGCCAAGTTTGGCCATCACTTGTCTACACTGACTGCCAGTGGTGCTGCGGGGTTTCTGGCGAAGAGTCTTTCCCAGTCCGACCTGGTGATGCTCAGGATTGAACCTTTTGTATGCAAATCACACCCTCTCCATCTGAACCTTCTCTCTGCTAGTCCCCCCCCCCATGTGTATCTTGGGGCTTCGGAAGGTGTCATAAAAGTTTCCCATCAGCGAAATTGCAGTGCCTTGCAGTAAGATCTGATTAGTTCTTTAAATGTGTGTGTTGAATACTATCTGTTTCCTTCATTTGCCAGTCAAGACAGCATCCCACATCGGGAGAAATCAGGCTGATTTGCTTACGGAAAGCGATCAGGCAGAAGTTTAGGATACTTTTTAACAACTGATTGCTCTACAACATAAAACTTGGCTGCCGCAAATAAATTTGCAAAGAGATTAAAAGACTTGAGCAGGTGGACATGTGGTTCAGAATGAACCTGCTTCTTGCAAACTTCTCCAGTCTGGGCAGATGGAGATTATTCTTTGAATTTTGTGGTTAGGAAGCTGCCAGTATTAAAATAAAAAATAAAAAAAAATATTTGCTTTTGTCAATGTTTTAACTAATTAATAGCTTGGAGGCATATTTTGACTGCTCCCTTACCCCCCCCCCTAATTTTTCCTCCTCCTAAATTCATTTGCCTCTTTAGCTGGGAGAATGATTGTTTAAATAGCAGCAGTATTTTAAAAACATTGCCTTGTGCATCTTAGTGCCTTAGCAGTGCCAAAATAGGAGCATATTTAGCCAACTGGGATCTGGAGGTTGTTGCCTCAGGGTAGTCACCATGAGATAACAACCCTTTGTCTCCACAATTGGAATAAAGCCAGGGTAGCCATCGTGTGACCCTCACGATCTTTTTGGACTCCCAGCTCCCATCAGCCTCAGCCAGCATGACCAATGGTCAGAGGCGATAGGTAACCTAACAGTGTCCAGAGCACATGACATCCAGTGCCCCTGGGATGGAGGTCTGGGTGAGGGCTGTCTTAAGCATATGCAATGCCGGGGTGCAAAGATCCACCCGGTTGCCCAGTCCCAGGCACGTGGGAGGGCAGAGTCAGCCGGCTGCCTCAGTATCTCGCTGGCCCCAAACCCGAGGCACAGAGCCTCCCACAGCAGAAGAGCCTGCCGCGGCACGCTGACCGATGGGTGGGCTCTTCCCCAGACTCAACTCTCAGGCCCCGGACTCTCGGTCTGGTGCCCCTGAGAGCCTAGCACCCGGGTGCCCCGCACCCCTAGCACCTATGGGTAAGACGGCCCTGGTGACAAAGCAATGGACACAATTTGCTAAATACATACTTTCCAGATTTAGCTGCTAATCTAGATATTACTCTAGCTCATGTACGACTAGACCTCTTGGTAAATCTACTCTTACCTCTCAGATCCCCTTCAAGAACTTTATTCACATACAGTGGTGCCCCGCAAGACGAATGCCTCGCAAGACGAAAAACTCGCTAGACGAAAGGGTTTTGCGTTTTTTGAGTCGTTCCGCAAGACGAATTTCCCTATGGGCTTGCTTCGCAAGACGAAACGTCTTGCAAGTTCTTGTGAGTTTGTTTCCTTTTTCTTAAAGCCGCTAAGCCGTTAATAGCCGCTAAGCCGCTAAGCCGCTAATAGCCGTGCTTCGCAAGACGAAAAAACCGCAAGACGAAGAGACTCATGGAACGGATTAATTTCGTCTTGCGAGGCACCACTGTATATATGTATTTATATGTACAGTGGTACCTCAGGTTACATACGCTTCAGGTTACATACGCTTCAGGTAACAGACTCCGCTAACCCAGAAATAATGCTTCAGGTTAAGAACTTTGCTTCAGGATGAGAACAGAAATCGTGCTCTGGAGGCGCAGCGGCAGCGGGAGGCCCCATTAGCTAAAGTGGTGCTTCAGGTTAAGAACAGTTTCAGGTTAAGAACAGACCTCCGGAATGAATTAAGTACTTAACCTGAGGGACCACTGTACAGTGGTACCTCTGGTTGTGAATGGGATCCATTCCAGAGGCCAGTTCGCTACCTGAACAGAATGCCACCCGTGTCTGCGCGGGCCATGGTTTGCTGCTTCTGCGCATGCTCGTGACATCATTTTGCGTGCCTATGCACGCGCGAGCAGCGAAAACCGGAAGTAACCCATTCCATTACTTCCGGGTCGCCGCAGGACGCAACCTGAAAATGCTCAACCTGAAGCAAACATAACATGAGGTATGACTGTATAGCTTTTGAAGCACTATTGTTATATATTTGCTTTGTGGGCCTCGGATTTTCCGTTTTCAGCTCAGCCGGCTACACAGATACCCAGGGAAGATAGTCTATAATTTGCCGCAATAATCGCCGTCCTCTTCTCTCTGTCTGTGAAAACATTCCCTGGATCTAAAGCCTGATTGGCTTTTATCTCTCATCTTTCCCCCCACCCTGGGAGGGGAAAAAAAAAGTGCCATTGACAAAGCCTAGAAAATTGATTTGGAAGAATGGAAGAGGGGGAGGGGAACCATTATGGCGCACTTAATCATGGCTAAGTAATGGACCGGAGGCGGTGAATAGCACTTCAAAGCATCAGGGGAAGTGATCTGGGTGAGGAGGGGCTTTCAATACAACCTGCAACCCCTTTCAGACTCAAAACACTGAACAAGGAAGCAAACAAACAGCTGAATAGGAGCAGGGTCTTATGTGTTTTCTCCATTGAGGTAGCTCCTCTATAGCTAAACCTCTCTTCCCCCGCGGGCTGTTTCTCTTCTCTCCTTGTTATCAGAAGGATCTATTTCTGGTAAATTTCCTAGCCCCTCAGCCCAAGTAGAGATAGCAATATTTTCTTCTTCAAATTCACCATTGGAGGTTTATTTTTTATTTTTTCGGATTTAGCTGCCCGCTCCCCGGCTCCAGAGTGTTCCAGATCAGAGGCACTGAATTGCGCACAACATTGGAGGGAGGGGGACATTGTGCGCACATGATGTCGCATGTGGAATGGGCTCCCTCAGAAGGTGGTGGGCTCTCCTTCTTTGGAGGTCAGATGGTCATCTGTTGGGGATTCTTTCATTGTGATTCTTTCATGCCAAGGATGGACTTGGCATCCCCTTGGCATCCCTTTCCAAGTCTACGATTCTAGGATTCAGTGAAGAGAGATTGACCATTAAACCACTCTGGAAATTGCAGGGGCCTCTTAACAAGTGTCAGGGATGCGGGTGGCACTGTGGTCTAAACCTTGGGCTTGGGCTTGCCGATCGGATCGGAAGGTCGGCGGTTCAAATCCCCATGATGGGGTGAGCTCCCGTTGCTCGGTCCCTGCTCCTGCCAACCTAGCAGTTCGAAAGCACGTCAAAGTGCAAGTAGATAAATAGGTACCACTCCAGCGGGAAGTTACACGGCTTTTCCGTGCACTGCTCTGGTTCACCAGAAGCGGCTTAGTCATGCTGGCCACATGACCCAGAAGCTGTACGCCGGATCCCTCGGCCAGTAAAGCGAGATGAGCGCTGCAACCCCAGAGTCGGCCACGACTGGACCTAACGGTCACAGGTCCCTTTACCTTTACCTTAACAAGTGTCAGTATCCTGAATAAACTACAGTTCCCAGAATTAATTGGGGGAAGCTGCAACTGTTTAAAGGGATACAGTGGACGCTCGGGTTGCGAACGTGATCCGTATGGGAAGCACGTTCGCAACCCGTAGCATCCGCAACCCGCAGTGTCGTGTCTGCGCACGTGCGGCTCACAATTTGGCACTTCTGCGCATGCACAAAGCACGATTTAGCACTTCTGTGCATGCACGAGCGCCGAAACCCGGAAGTAACCCATTCTGGTACTGGTACTTCCAAGTTTGGTGCAGTACACAACCCAAAATCACGCAACCTGAAGTGTCTGTAAAACTCGAGGTATGACTGTATTGTGGTGCTTTAAAAGTATGCTGTGAATGTGGCCAAGGTTTTTTTCTCTCTCTCAAACACACACACACACACACACACACACACACACACACATTACTCAGTTGTGAAATGTCTTCCTACCAGCTCCCTCTATTCTTCCACAGCTGGGGTGACAGCATTGGGGGCGACCCACCCTTTTGAGGGCCAGCAGTGGGTGTAGGCAATGTAGACCCTTCCCCAAGGCAATTGCAACACATTAGCTGAGCGCCTGAAAAGTTCACGTTTCCTGACAGCATTAACAACAAGAAGAAAGTGTGTGTTTGTGTGCGCGTGTGTGTTTTACAGGAGGGGAAATTGCATTTCAGTGGATGACTCTGAGAAAGGAGCAAAGCCCTTTGTTTCCACCAAGCTCCCCCCCTCAAAGCAACAGACGGCCGCAGCCCTCCATACAGGAGTCCTGACTGCAAGATGCAAGATGGCAGTCAGGGCTGCTGTTGGAGGGAAGGGCTGGGGATCAAAGTTCCTTTCAGCGAGATAGCAAAGAACAAGAGAACGATTGTAAAGGAAACGAAAAACCTTATCTTCTCCCTGCCTGTTCCCCCACTGCCGCTGGGATTATGCAAATCAACCATTCAAGTACATTTCCCTGGTAATTAAAAACTCTGCTCTTTTTAATTAAACTTTCCCTCCAGACTGATTTCTTTCCCCCCCAGGGAGACTAATTCTTCCCATGCTTCTTTACGGATCTGTTCTCTACTCTCTCTTGCCACCCCCCACCCAACCCCATCCCATAGTTTCTTCTAAATTGACAAGTCCTACCGTCGCGGAGAGTCGCAGTCTAACTTTCAGAAGAAGTTACCTCTCAGACCTATCGTCATAGCTATCAACTTATTCCGAATAGGAATTCCTCGCAAGAAAAGGGAAAAGTTGACAGGTATGCCTATTGCCAATATAAAAGGACGGAGGAAGATGGAGGGAGGAGGGAGGGATGGGAGTGGAAGGAGAGAAGCGAAGGGAAAGGAAGAGGTGGAAGAGAGAGGAAAACCAGTGGGAAGAGAGGGTCTCGTTGGTGTCACTGTCTATGTAGCAATGCTATTTGGTGATTTTGTGGTTGGAAAGATGGTGTCAGAGACCGGGCCAAGGAGTACAGCTCTGATGAGGAATGGTGGGAGCCTCGCCTTGGCCCTGATCCTGACCACGATCCTGAAGCTGCCCAGGAACAGTGGAGCAGTATAGATTTAGAACAGTGGTTTGCAGAGGGGCATAGTTCAGAAGACAAAAGTTGGGAAGAACTGGGGGGTGAACAGCAAAGTGAAGAAGAACAGGAAAAGAGAGGGAGACCTAACAGACTCTCTCTCACTGGGAAGTATTCAGCATATCAGTCCAAGGTCGCTTCGTGCAGATAAGGTGGCTGCACAAAAAGCACAATGGTTGCGAGATCAGGTTGCAAAACGGAAATGACGAGGGGGGAAGTGAGTGGAATCCTTAACTGGGAATACCTTCATTCCTAGAATGGATGCTTTGTTCTTTTGCTGTGATCATTAAAGACTCTTTAAATGGTAAGGGACTCTTTTTGCTTTGTCCTGCTTAAAGGTAAAGGGACCCCTGACCGTTAGGTCCAGTCGCGGACGACTCTGGGGTTGCGGCGCTCATCTCGCTTTACTGGCCGAGGGAGCCGGCGTACAGCTTCTGGGTCATGTGGCCAGCATGACCAAGCCGCTTCTGGCGAACCAGAGCAGTGCACGGAAACACCGTTTACCTTCCCGCCGGAGTGGTACCTATTTATCTACTTGCACCTTGACGTGCTTTCGAATTGCTAGGTTGGCAGGAGCAAGGACCGAGCAATGGGAGCTCACCCCGTTGCGGTGATTTGAACCACTGACCTTCTGATCGGCAACTCCTAGGCTCTGTGGTTTAACCCACAGCGCCCCTATATCTACTGCTTATCTACTTGTCCTGCCTATCTACGGCCAAAGGGGAGAAGAAGCTGAGTCCCCAGAGCCTGACAGATGTCCCTCATAGGACAGGCAACAAGTGGAAGTTGTTTCGGGAAGGAAGTGGGTGTGTTGGGAGGAGGTGGGAGCAGAGAGATTTTTGTTCTCCCATCTTATAATACTTGAACCCAGGGTCATCCAGTGATGCAAACTGTTGGAAGACTGCAGAACAAACAAGAGGAAGGACTTCCCTTGATCCAGACACGGTGCTTCCCTTGATTCAGCCTAGAATTGCATTAGTTTTAATCACATTAGATGATGGTGTTCTATGGAAAACTCTTCTGCATGTTCATAGATGGTTTGACATGCGCTGCCTTAGCAATCCTCCCGTAACCACCTTGTGAAATACTCAGATATGATTATCCTCATTTTACAGGTTGCTCTTAGGCCAAGAAAGCTTGGCTTAAGGCCATCTTGTTAGGTCATACCAGAGGTGAGATTTTGAAGCTTGGTTTGACAGCTCAGTACCGTTAAGATGCACTACTGTTGTTGTCGTTTAGTCGTGTCCGACTCTTCGTGACCCCCTGGACCAGAGCATGCCAGGCAGTCCTGTCTTCCACTGCCTCCCGCAGTTTGGTCAAACTCATGTTGGTAGCTTCGAGAACTATGCACTACATTAGCTACCATTTGCCCCTTATGTTTTCCTAGTGGATTCGGGGAAGTGAGGTAAAGGTAAGGTAAAGGACCCCTGGACGGTTAAGTCCAGTCAAAGGTGACTATGGGGTTGCGGCATTAATCTTGCTTTCAGGCTGAGGGAGCTGGTGTTTGTCCACAGACAGCTTTCTGGGTCATGTGGCCAGCAGGACTATACCGCTTCTGGCGCAACGGAACACCGTGTCAGAAACCAGAGCACACAGAAACACCGTTTACCTTCCCACCACAACAGTACCTATTTATCTACTTGCACTGGTATGCTTTCGAACTGCTAGGTAGGCAGGAGCAGGGACAGAGTAACAGGAGCTCACTCGTCACAGGGATTCGAACCGCTGACCTTCCAATCGGCAAGTCCAAGAGGCTTGGTGGTTTAGACCACAGCGCCACCCGCATCCTGCGGGGAAGTGAACTGGGAACTATCACAGTCCTAGGATCAAAGGTAGGAGAGAAACATTTATTCACATCTCCAGATGCTGGGTGTTCTCCTCTGGGAGGTTCGGCTGGTGCTTGCATTATACACCTTTAGGTGCCAGACAAAAACACTCCTCTTCAACCAGGCTTCTGACTGATGGACATCTGATGCTTTTTTAAATGTGTTGTGGGATGGGAGTGATTATTGGTTTTATGTTGTTCTTATTTTTATTACATATTTTGCGGTTTCTCTGTTGTGATTTTGCATTGTGAACCACCCAGAGACTTGTGGCTGAAGGACACTATACAAATTCAATAAATAAAACATGTAAGGGCATTTAAAATTTGCACTTCTCTGAATTTTGCAATGCAGTTCTCTAGCCAAGTAATGTATACGGAAATGAATATCCCGGGACAAAGTGTGCCTAACAATGTATTTTGTTTGTTTGTTTGCATATGTTAGTGAAAATAGCATACAGAAATGCATTCTGTTTGAGGAAATCACTTTGCAAAAGTGCGTATATTCAGATAAATCTTGCAGAAAAACAAGTATTTCGGGATAAATTCCCACTAAGATGATACATATTTTTTTTATAAGATATTTATTAAGGTTTTTTTGAAATATTACAGTAAAAATGAAAAAGAAAAGAGAAAAATACAAAATAAAAACAGTTAAAAACACACATATTTTCAGTTACTTATTTTCCTTTAGCTTGTTTCCCGGACCTCCTCGTACCTCCCTTTTTTGTATTCCACTTCAATTTATTGGTTCAGCAAATCCTTACCATTAGATTTTAACCCATTTATAACCCTTTTTTCATATTCTCTTAAAGCATTACAGCTAGAAACCGCTTAATTACTATCCAACATCATTCAATCATTCATTAATTTTACAATATTTCTGTAAATAGTCTTTAAATTTCTTCCAATCTTCTTCCACCGACTCTTCTCCCTGGTCTCGGATTCTGCCAGTCATTTCCGCCAATTCCATATAGTCCATCACCTTCATCTGCCATTCTTCCAAAGTGGGTAGATCTTGTGTCTTCCAATACTTTGCAATGAGTATTCTTGCTGCTGTTGTAGCATACATAAAAAAAGTTCTGTCCTTCTTTGGCACCAATTGGCCGACAATGCCCAGAAGAAAGGCCTCTGGTTTCTTCAAGAAGGTATATTTAAATACCTTTTTCAGTTCATTATATATCATCTCCCAGAAAGCCTTAATCCTTGGGCACGTCCACCAAAGGTGAAAGAATGTACCTTCAGTTTCTTTACATTTCCAACATTTATTATCGGGCAAATGATAGATTTTTGCAAGCTTGACTGGGGTCATGTACCACCTGTATATCATTTTCATAATATTCTCTCTTAGGGAATTACAGGCCATAACTGTTCCCAGTCAGCAAACATAATATTATGTCCAACATCTTGTGCCCATTTAATCATAGCAGATTTCACCGTTTCATCCTGAGTATTCCATTTCAACAGCAAGTTATACATTCTTGACAGATTCTTAGTTTTGGGTTCTAACAGTTCTGTTTCCAATTTTGATTTTTCCACCTGGAAGCCAATTTTCTTGATATATATATATATATATATATATATATATATATATATATATATATATATATATTAACCAGGATTTAGAAAAAGAATACGAAGTGATGTGGAAATGTGGACTAATGTTGGAAAGGTGACAGAGCAAAACTGAAGGATTTCTTCTTTGTTGCTAAAGCATCACCATACGCAAGACTCTGAGTGTACCTGTGTGATATCACACATGATGAGGATAGCAATCACTGCGAGTCTCTCCGCGATAGCTTTTAATAGCTCGCTAAGGCACTAAATATAGTGCCACCGGAAGGAATGACTGAGCAAGTGAAAAAGAGGTTTCTTTTTCATCCCCCCCTCTCATTACATCATCCCCTTCGCATCATTTCCTGCACCAAGAAAGAAAAATCTGGAAGTGAGACAGGCTGACGCAGCGGGCAGGCATTGAAATCATACCATTTTACCCCAGATTAAGCAGTGCCACATTCTACTTTGGTATTTAAGCAGACCTGACCTAGACCAAACACTACTTACGCTTTGTCACGTAAATGTAGTAGTGATGTATGGAAGTGAGAGCTGGACCATCAAGAAGGCTGATCGCCAAAGAATGGATGCTTTTGAATTCTGGTGCTGGAGGAGACTCTTGAGAGTCCCCTGGACTGCAAGAAGATCAAACCTCTCCATTCTGAAGAAAATCAGCCCTGAGTGCTCACTGGAAGGACAGGATATTCAGCAGAGATTCAGATCCCCCAAGCTAAACCAGCACACCTGCTTTTGCAGATAAGTACCCAAACAGCATTTGTTAGGCTGTGTGAATATGTGTTGGAATGTTTTGGTTTCACCCATGTCTGTGTCAAGAAAACGAAGATCATGGCCACTGGTCCCATCACCTCCTGGCAAATAGAAGGGGGAAAATGGAGGCAGTGAGAGATTTTACTTTCTTGGGCTCCATGATCACTGCAGATGGTGACAGCAGCCACGAAATTAAAAGATTCCTGCTGCTTGGGAGAAAAGCAATGACAAACCTGGACAGCATCTTTAAAAAGCAGAGACATCACCTTGCCAACAAAGGTCCGTATAGTTCAAGCTATGCTTTTCCCAGTAGTGATGTATGGAAGTGAGAGCTGGACCATAAAAAAGGCTGATCTCCAAAGAATGGATGCTTTTGAATTCTGGTGCTGGAGGAGACTCTTGAGAGTCCCATGGACTGCAAGAAGATCCAACCTCTCCATTCTGAAGGAAATCAGCCCTGAGTGCTCACTGGAAGGACAGGTCCTGAAGCTGAGACTCCAAGACTTTGGCCACCTCATGAGAAGAGAAGACTCCCTGGAAAAGACCCTGATGCTGGGAAAGATGGAGGGCACAAGGAGAAGGGGACGACAGAGGACGAGATGGTTGGACAGTGTTCTCGAAGCTACCAGCATGAGTTTGACCAAACTGCGGGATGCAGTGGAAGACAGGAGGGCCTGGCGTGCTCTGGTTCATGGGGTCATGAAGAGCTGGACACGACTAAACAACAACATGCAGATCAAAGGCACCACTTTACATAGCAAGGTGCAGTGAAAGAAAGAACAGTCTTCTAGATAGCTAGTAAAATGGGGGGGGGATTTTGTAGATGAAAAGTGAGTGGATGGGATCTTAATAATTTCTTAGCTTCATCCCCTCCATCACCTGCAAAATTTGCGGGGATAGCACTTCTTTTTCTCTTATCCATTAGCTAGAGGCATATTGGATATATCAACCCTATGCTGAAGAGACAAGCCACTTTTCAGAAGCCGCTTGCTTCTTCAGCAGTATGTAAGTAGATTCAAAGAAACCTTTTTTCACTGGAATTATTAGAAACACCAATACAGTGGTGCCCCGCAAGACGAATGCCTTGCAAGACGGAAAACCCGCTAGACGAAAGGGTTTTCCGTTTTCAATGCTCTTCGCAGGACGAATTTCCCTATGGGCTTGCTTCGCAAGACGAAAATGTCTTGCGAGTCTTGAGATTTTTTTTTCGCTTTCCCCCCTCTTTTTCTAAGCCGCTAAGCCTTTAATAGCCGCTAAACCGCTAATAGCGCTAATCCGCTAATCCGCTAATAGGGTTGCTTCGCAAGACGAAAAAACCGCTAGACGAAGATACTTGCGGAACGGATTAATTTCGTCTTGCGAGGCACCACTGTAATTAGACCTGGGACCTTCTCCATGCAAAGTCTCTACTACACATTTTCATATGCAATTTCCCCTGAAACACACATTTTTGCAGAGGAATGGCCCCGTAATATAATGCATTTTTGTGCATAATAATTTCACCAGTATAAGCATTTTCATGTACATTTATTGGCTGCATGACAGAATTAAGAGAGGGATGAATTTCAAAGTTTGGCTGCATTTAGGTTTGCACCCTATTAGGGAAGCGTTAGACAGGTTTGTCTTTAAATGCAAGCTGAGTCAAATACCTCCCACATTTCCACACTCCTGGCGGGTGATCCCTTTGCATTGCCATTCCCGATTCTTGTAGACAGAGACGTCACAGCTTCAAGTTCTTTTCTGTGCTGCTCTTTGTATGAAGGTATCAGCTGCCTCTCGGGAGGTTCTTTCTATTTTCCGATTTTGTCAAAACTAAATAGAAAGAATATTAAAAACACAATATTGAAGCACCTACATGAAAGAGCCAGCTTCGGTGGCTCAGCATAAATGAAAATCATTAAAATCTCAGCCAACTGGGGGGAAAAGTTTCTGAAAACACAAAGCTTTCCCCAAAGGCTGTGAAGTACAGAAATAAATCTGGCAGTGTGGTGTAGTGGTTAGAGCAGTGATGGCCAAACTTGGCCCTCCGGCTGTTTTGGGACTACAATTCCCATCATTCCTGACCACTGGTCCTGTTAGCTAGGGATGATGTGAGTTGTAGTCCAAAAACAGCTGGCAGGCCAAGTTTGGCCACCACTGGGTTAGAGTGCCAGACTAGGACCTGGGAGAGACTAGGGTTCAAATGCCCAGTCATTGCCTCCCTAACCCACCTTCACAGGGTGGATGTGGGGATTAAATGAAGAGGGGCTGGGGGGGAGAACCATGCACATCACCTCAAGCTCCTTGAAGAAGGTGGGATTTAAATGCAATAGGTAAATAAATGGACAGCATTAGTGGGGAGAGCAAAGGTAAAGGTAAAGAGGGACGCGGGTGGCACTGTGGGTTAAACCACAGAGCCTAGGACTTGCCAATCAGAAGGTCAGCGGTTTGAATCCCTGCGACGGGGTGAGCTCCTGTTGCTCGGTCCCTGCTCCTGCCAACCTAGCAGTTCGATAGCGCGTCAAAGTGCAAGTAGATAAATAGGTACCACTCCGGCGGGAAGGTAAACGGCGTTTCCGTGCGCTGCTCTGGTTCGCCAGAAGCGGCTTAGTCATGCTGGCCACATGACCGGAAGCTGTACGCTGGCTCACTCAGCCAATAAAGTGAGATGAGCGCTGCAACCCCAGAGTCGGTCACAAGTGGACCTAATGATCAGGGGTCCCTTTACCTTTTTTAAAGGTAAAGAACCCCTGGACGGTTAAGTCCAGTCAAAGGCGACTATGGGGTTGTGGCGTTCATCTCACTTTCAGGCCAAGAGAGCCGGCATTTGTCCACAAACAGCTTTCTGGGTCATGTGGCCAGCAGGACGAAACCGCTTCTGGTGCAACGGGACACCATGACGGAAACCAGAGCGCATGGAAACCCCGTTTACCTTCCCGCCACAGGGGTACCTATTTATCTACTTGCACTGGTGTGCTTTCGAACTGCTGGGTTGGCAGGAGCTGGGACAGAGCAACGGGAGCTCACCCTGTCGTGGGGATTTGAACCGCCGACCTTCCGATTGGCAAGCCCAAGAGGCTCGGTGGTTTAGACCACAGCGCCACCCAGAGGGGGAACATTCCATCATTGCAAATGGTTCCTAAGTTTGGAGGAAACCTGCCTTGGTCCCCGAGACATGGAAAAGACAAGGCATGTGAACTAGGGGTAATGTGGAAATACAACCAGGTTTCATGACAAGTGCCACACCCTTTGTTCCTTAAGAAAGGCTGCGGACCTCAAGTAGGGTGGGGATGGTGCCTCATCACAAGGGGGTTCGACTAGATGACCCTTCCAACTCGACAATGTCACAATTCCATGGTTCTAAGCATTGAAATAAGATCAGCTGTGATCCTTGGAAGGTGCTGGTGGGGTAATCCTGTCCTTTATCAGAGGCAGGAAAATGTTTGCGCCACCCCTTATATTTGGATAAAGATAAACCCAGTGCTGTAATCAGGGCTGGATTTAGACTTGATGAGGACCTAAGCTACTGAAGGTAGTGGGGTCCTTTATAGAGTGGTACCTCGGGTTATATATGCTTCAGGTTACAGACTCCGCTATCCCAGAAATAGTACCTCAGGTTAAGAACTTTGCTTCAGGATGAAAACAGAAATCGTGCAGCTGCGGAACAGCGGCAGTGGGAGGCCCCATTAGCTAAAGTGGTGCTTCAGGTTAAGAATAGTTTCAGGTTAAGAACAGACCTCCAGAAAGAATTAAGTTCTTAACCCGAGGTACCATTGTATGTCCAGCTGTCCTTTGTCAGCAACAAATTGTCGCTGTTTTTGTGTGTTGAATATATGCTATATGGTCACTGATGGACCTAATACAGGGGTCAGCAAACTTTTTCAGCAGGGGGCCGGTCCACTGTCTCTCAGACCTTGTGGGGGCCGGATTATATATGCATATTTTTTGGGGGAATGAACGAATTCCTATGCCCCGCAAATAACCCAGAGATGCATTTTAAATAAAAGGACACATTCTACTCATGTAAAAACACTCTGATTCCCGGACCATCTGTGGACCAGATTTAGAAGGTGATTGGGCTGGATCCAGCCCCCGGGCCTTAGTTTGCCTATCCATGACCTAATAGGTATCTCAAACCATTTGCACATGTTGCCATGCAACCAGTCCATGCAGAAAGTAGGCACCCTATATATAGAAATGAGCAAACCAGTGATATTTTAGGGAGCAGCCGGGGCCCATGACTTGCATCCTAGGAGCCTACACAACACATAACACTGTTGCTGTATGTAGGTTTTATTTTATTTGTTTTTTATCTTATATTTTGGAAACATACATCCAGTTATTTCCCCTTTAAATTCTTTTGGGGCCCCCAAGAGAGTGGGGCCCGAAGCTATAGCTTGTTTAGCTTATACATAAATCCAGCACTGGCTGTAATTGCTGAAGAGTGTTAGAGGCAAAGAGATTGTGCAAAACATACAGAATCCCACCTCCTTTTTCTGACTCTTATAGAATCTTTCTGCCTCGGCTCCTGAACAAGAGTTAACAACCCCAGACTCTAAAAAATATCGCACAGTGTGCTTTGCATCGAAGCGTTCAGCATCGTTAATGCACCACAGCCATTACTTAATCTCTCCATCTATCCGAAGGCCCCCTTTTCCATAATATGAGCGAAGGAGATAAGTGGAGGACAATTGAATATTGTTTCTCTCGCAGCCTTTTGAAAGCAAGGCACGCTTTCATGTGCAGACACCCATTCGCAGAGGAATACAATAAGCACAGAAAGTCAGATGCCTTAAGAATCGCCTTAGTGGAACAGGCCAAGGATTCATCTTTAACAGCGATGGACTGCGTGTTTGTTGGAACCTCTCCAAAGACAAGTTGATGACAATCATGCTCTGCATTGGTCATCTAGCTGTCAATGGTAGACTGCCCCTGAGGGTGGGGGTTCCATTCCTGGCTATTTCTACCAATAGTTATTGACAAACCCATCCTCCCTGAATTAGTCTCAAAGCCACCGGGTGTGTTTATTGGCCAAAAATAACATGTGGAAAGAGGTTCTAACTAATGCTCCTTCCTGATAAAAGTCTTTCCAAAATGTTCTCTCAGGCTGGATCTTATTCTTGTTTAGTCGTTTAGTTGTGCCCAACTCTTCGTGATCCCATGGACCAGAGCACACCAGGCCCTCCTGTCTTCCACTGCCTCCCACAGTTTGGTCAAACTCATGCTGGTAGCTTCAAGAACACTGTCCCACCATCTCGTCCTCTGTCGTCCCCTTCTCTCTGTGCCCTCAATCTTTCCCAACATCAGGGTCTTTTCCAGGGAGTCTTCTCTTCTCAGGATCTGTCCTTCCAGTGAGCACTCAGGGATGATTTCCTTCAGAATGGATCAGTTCGATCTTCTTGCAGTCCACGGGACTCTCAAGAGTCTCCTCCACCACTTGGAGTAGGAACTGGCAAGCCACTCCGGTATCCCTGCCAAGAGAACTCCATGGACAAAGAGAACAGGCTGGATCTAGACACATAAAAAAAAATAAGCGTTTTGGGGAAATGCGTTGTAAACCTCCCAGTGGGAAATCACGTTGGTGAAAGACAGGACTCCCCAGCACCACCTGGTGTCACAGTGCTAGAATGCATACAAAACGCATACAAAACTAAACTTTCTTTAGTATTGTTGTTTAGTATTGTTTAGTATTGTTTCTTTAGTATTGTTTAGCTGTATTGTTTTTAACACTCCATTGGGAGCCGCCCAGAGTGGCTGTGGAAACTCAGCCAGATGGGCGGGGTATAAATAATAAATTATTATTATTATTATTATTATTATTATTATTATTATTATTATTATATTGTAGCTGAGTCTTTAGTCTCTGCATGAATGACACAATAGAAGTCAAGAGCACCGGCTCTGACCCCTCAGTCCCTTTCTCACAATACTAGAATTTGTGGACATCCCAATGCAGCTTAATGGACAGAGGAAACAAAGTACTGTATTTTCAAGTGTATAACACGCACCCGTGTATCAGATGCTCCCTATTTTGGGGGACTCAAAACTACTGTATTTTTCGCTCCATAGGACGCACTTTTTTCCTTCTAAAAAGTAAGGGAAATGTCTGTGCGTCTTATGGTGCAAATGTGTGGTTGATTGCTGGCTCCCTTTCCAGCCCCAGCCTCTTGCCCAGGCCTCCACTGTTGAATGTTCTGCTGACGTAAACTGTTTGTTTCCCCAGCGACATATGACTGACTGGTTGATTAGATTATCTGTCTGGAAACTGTAGAAACGGCTCCCTTTCCTTTCCTAAAGAATCTGCAGAACTGTGAGTTGAACCCCATAAAAACAGGATTTTTCCCCGTTTGCAAAGTAAACTCAACAACTTTGAGCTGGTCCTCAAAAGACGGGGCTTTCCCCACTTTCCTCCTCTAAAAACTAGGTGCGTCTTGTAGTCAGGTGCATCTTATGGAGTGAAAAATACGGTAAGAAAATGGGGGGAGATTGCCCCCGTTTATAAGACTACCCCCCCTTTTAACATTATTTTTTAGTAAAAAAACCCCTAGTCTTATACATGGAAAAGTACGGTCATTCTTCACGCAGTACATTGTTAAACTATGGAACTCCCTGCCTCAGGAGGAAGTCAGGGAAGCCAACTTGGATGGCTTGAAAAGAGGGCTGGAAAGCAATGTCTGGGTGACCATGGGTGCGCTAAGAGGGTTTATGGGATCCCACCATGGTGGGAAAGTTACATACTGGCCTCGTCTCAGTGGCCACCATGGATCATGCTTGCTAGAAAGTGTTGTTCCCTCTCAAGACCCCTTTTCCTCCCATTCATAAACAGCTCAAGCTTGGAAGCCAATATTTTACAAGGGGCTGATTGATCACCGTGCATTTACCAAGTGTCACTTAAAATAACTCACAGAAAATAGGTGTTGTGTGTTTTCATAAAGCCGTTGGAATGACTTACAGATGATTGCTTGGGTATGAGATACAAATGACAGGCATTTAATGGAACAACAGCTTTAAATCTGTTAACCTTTTTTTCTTTTTCTTTTTTTAGATAAAAAATATATTATTGCCTTGTGCTTTCAAGGAAAGATAAATTAATATGAAGTGCTCAAACAAGATCTTTTGTTTCCTCCTCGGGAGGAATGATCATGTAGCAAGGAAGAGGAGGCAGATCTGTTAATTTAAAACCAGAGAGGATTTCGCTATTGTCATATTTTCCAAACCTGCCCATCCATAGGAGAAGTTCAGCAAGCGGGTTTTCCAGGCAAGGAAAGGGGTGCAACTAGGGTGAGTTTTTTAAAAAATGAATTGGGTTTTAAAAATGAATCAATTTCAGTTTATAGCAGAACTAAAGGCTTATTCTTCATTATTGCATTTCATATCCCACCTTTTTGCTTCATGGTCCTCACGGTTCTCCCCTTTCTTATTTAATCCCCTCAACAACCCTGTGAGGTAGGTTAGGCTGAGAGGCAGTGACCAGCCCAAGGCCACCCAGCGAGCTTTATCGCCAAGTGGGCATTCGAACCCTGGTATCCCCGGTCCTAGTCCAACACTCTAACCACTACACCACACTGTCTGGCAAACTGGATCTACCCAGCACTGCCCTCATTCTGTCTCATTCACACATTGCTAGCATTGACCCCCATTATAATAAAAAACTCCTTTATCCCTTATGTGTACCCAAAAGCCTGTATATTGAAATTGAAATACTTTATTGTCACTTGTACAACTTGTATACAGTGAGATTACACAAGCACCCCCCACTCAGCTCTCTTAGTCTTAATTCCCCTCGTTTACTGATGCACACCCACCAAACCCGAAAGTCAGTTGCCCTGTTGTTATCTTTTCATTCAGCAGCCTAACAGCCCAGGGATAGAAGCTGTTCTTTACCCTGTTGGTGCGACTAATGATGCTTCTATATCTTCTGCCGGAGGTTTCCCCAGCCACTCTGGGCGGCTTCCAACAGAGCACTAAAATACAGTAACCTATTCAACATTAAAAGCTTCCCTAAACAGGGCTGCCTTCAGATGTCTTCTAAAAGTTTGGTAGTTATTTTTCTGTTTGACATCTGGTGGGAGGGCGTTCCACAGGGCGGGTGCCACTACTGAGAAGGCCCTGTGCCTGGTTCCCTGTAACTTGGCTTCTCGCAGTGAGGGAACCGCCAGAAGGCCCTTGGAGCTGGACCTCAGCATCTGGGCTGAACAATGGTGGTGGAGATGCTCCTTCAGGTATACAGGACTGAGGCCATTTTGGGCTTGAAAGGTCAGCACCAACACTTTGAATTGTGCTCGGAAACGTACTGGGAGCCAATGTAGCTCTTTCAAGACTGGTGTTATGTGGTCTTGGTGGCAGCTCCCAGTCACCAGTCTCGCTGCTGCATTCTGGATTAGTTGCAGTTTCTGGGTCACCTTCAAAGGTAGCCCCACATAGAGCGCATTGCAGTAGTCCAAGTGAGAGATAACCAGAGCATGCACCACTCTGGCGAGACAGTCCACGGGCAGGTAGGGTCTCATCCTGCGTACCAGATGGAGCTGGTAAACAGCTGACCTGTATACAGAATTGACCTGCGCCTCCATGGACAGCCGTGAGTCCAAAATGACTCGCAAGCTGCGCACCTGGTCCTTCAGGGGCACAGTTACCCCATTCAGGACCAGGGAGTCCTCCACACCTGCCCGCCACCTGTCCGCCCAAAACAGTACTTCTGTCTTGTCAGGATTCAACCTCAGTCTGTTAGCCACCATCCATCCTGACCATCCATTAGTCCCAACAGCACTCTCTGCTGACTGGAGGCAGGCAAGGTTGCTCATATCCTACAGGTGTAAGGGTCATATGCAGACTTGACATGTCCTAACCAGGCAGAAATCAGATATCTCCGTGTTTGTTTTTAACATGTCCATTTGTCAGGGAACCTATGGCAGGCTGCCCCATGTATTTTTAATCCTTGTTGGAAGCCGCCCAGTGTGGCTGGGGAAACCCAGCCAGATGGGCGGGGTACAAATAAATTATTATTATTATTATTATTATTATTATTATTATTAACCTCAGGGGGTAATTTTCGCAGTGAAGAACCTGAAAGAGAGGGGTTTTTTTGAGGGGGCATTGCACCTCCAGGGTTGATCTGTGGGGATCTGTTTTCCCCCCTGGGTTTTTTATTTTTTAATTATTTGCTTTATTAACAATCTCTTATATCATATGACACATTTCATATAGCACATCTCGTATAACATATACACATGTATTGTACATCTTCTTGAGTAAACATATATATAATCCGTGTAAGCAAAAATCATATACAAGCAGTATTCTGTTTACTTACATAAATTAAACTAATTCATATTTTTACTATCTTTTGTTGTCTTATCTATTTATTAACATGAATTAAAGAAAGAAAAAAACAGAAGAAAGGTGTAGTTGGACTTCCTATCATTTCCCAGTGTATAGCCTTATTCTAGTAATGAACATACCTAACATTATTGAGTTATTCTTTATATTCCTTCTAATACATTCTTACAACAGTTAGTACCTTTTGATTTATTTCTCATATGTTTCACTATATAAGGGTCAATTAAATGCTGCCACAGACTTTATACAACTGTTGTAATTTCATAAATATTTCTTATATTTATCCCATTTTTGTACGAATACTTGTCTTGTGTTGCCTCTCAAGCTATTAGTCAGAACATGTAGATCTGTGGGGAAGGTTCCTCTTTTACGGCAAGGGTAGGCAAACTAAGGTCCGTGGGCCGGATCCGGCCCAATCGCCTTCTCAATCCGGCCCGTGGATGGTCCAGGAATCAGCGTGTTTTTACATGAGTAGAATGTGTCCTTTTATTTAAAATGCATCTCTGGGTTATTTGTGGGGCATAGGAATTCGTTCATTTCCCCCCCCCAAAAAATATAGTCCGGCCCCCCACATGGTCTGAGGGACAGTGGACCGGCCCCCTGCTGAAAACGTTTGCTGACCCCTGGGATATGGGACCTTTGGGTGGGGGGAGTGCATTTGAACTCTTGACGCAGTTTTATGATCTCTGTGATTTTGTGACTGTCTGACAGCCAGCCTGTCTTCCGGTCCCAATGAATCGCAGCTGCTTATAATTGAAGCAAAGGGAAATGTAGTTCAAATGGGTGAAAGAAATAGCCTTGATTGGGAATAATATAATTGATCTAAATGTGTCTCAGATGCTAATGGCTCTTCATGTGGGAACATTAATTTTGAGAGGCTGCCACCCCTTTTAAGTTCGACAAGAGGAATCGGGTAAGTTCAGGGCCCCGGAAATTTGCTGTTGTTGCTGACAGTAGAAAGTTGTTCGTATCTACATTCAGCTTCTCCTTTGATGCTACAGCAAACAGTGAATTAAGTGCTAAAACTGTCTCCAAAATTTGAACTCACTTCATTACTATGGCAACCAGTACTAATAGTATTATTCTGAGTAGTAATAGTAGTATCGCAGGTGAAATCTTCAGCATGGAGTGCTTGGGGCTCTAGCTTGCCAGCCTTGTCCTCTGCCAGGATGTTGTTGTTGTTATTTAGTCGTTTAGTCGTGTCCAACTCTTTGTGATCCCCTGGACCAGAGCACGCCAGGCACTCCTGTCTTCCACTGCCTCCCGCAGTTTGGTCAAACTCATGCTGGGAGCTTCGAGAACACTGTCCCACCATCTTGTCCTCTGTCGTCCCCTTCTCCTTGTGCCCTCCATCTTCCCCAACATCAGGGTCTTTTCCAGGGAATCTTCTCTTCTCATGAGGTGGCCAAAGTCTTGGAGCCTCAGCTTCAGGATCTGTCCTTCCAGTGAGCACTCAGGGCTGATTTCCTTCAGAATGGATCGGTTTGATCTTCTTGCAGTCCATGGGACTCTCAAGAGTCTCCTCCAGCACCAGAATTCAAAAGCATCAATTCTTTGGCAATCAGCCTTCTTTATGGTCCAGCTCTCACTTCTGTACATCACTACTGGGAAAACCATAGCTTGAACTATACGGACCTTTGTTGGCAAGGTGATGTCTCTGTCAGGATAACCAGTCTTCATTTTCCCATTTCCCCACCTTTGAACTATCAGTCATCATGCCATTACCCTGAAGCATGCTCAGTCCTCGTTGGGTTGTTTTGGGTTTCCATCATCATTCCTCCAAACACCCAATTCTGCAAACCTTGGCATCCCCCCCCGCCCGAAAGTCACTGATACCTCCCTCTGGCCCCATTCTGGCTAGATGAGGATTCAGACACACAGAGCTGTGCATGAGATTAAAAAAACCCCATAGATTCTGCAGAAAAGCTCATGCGTTGCCAGAATCATCTGGGAAAGGAATCCGGTAGGTGTCAGGGCTGGAGTCAAAGGCAGGTTAGCAATGAAGGAAGCAGATCTCTGTTGCCAGCGAAGTTGCCAGGATCTCAGCAATCCTTCCTAGTAGGTCTTGTCCCTATGGAGCAGTCTCCAGGACTGAGGTAAAAAAAGTAAAGATAAAGGACCCCTGGACGGTTAAGTCCAGTCAAAGCCGACTATGGGGTTGCATATTCATCTCACTTTCAGGCCGAGGGAGCCGGCGTTTGTCCACAAACAGCTTTCCGGGTCACGTGGCCAGCATGACTAAAATGCTTTTGGCACAATGGGACACTGTGATGGAAGCGCACGAAAATGCTGTTTACCTTCCTGCCACAGTGGTACCTATTTATATACTTGAACCGGCGTGCTTTCGAACTGCTAGGTTGGCAGGAGCTGGGACAGAGCAACGGGAGCTCACCCTGTCATGGGGATTCGAACCGCTGACCTTCTGATTGGCAAGCCCAAGAAGCTCCGTGGTTTAGACCACAGCGCCACCCACGTCCCTTCCACCCAGGACTGAAGGTCCCCACCATCCCCACCTCTCTAAGGCTTCTCTTCTCCGGAATGTTTCCCACCAGCCTCAAACTGCAACTGTGCACCTCTGGCCTCTGTTCTGCCCTCCTCATATTCCTGCGCATTCTTGGAGACCAGGGGAGAGGGGAGCTTGCCACAGCAGGAGAGGAAGACTCCCTGGATTCTTCCACAATCTCTTGACCTCCCTCTGCTTCTTCCTTGGAGTCTGAACTGCTCCTTGTCACAGGCTCCTCCTACTCACTAAACCCCATTGCCACTCTGGCACCTGGTAAATGTACCCCTGACTGCTAGGTCCAGCCGTGGACAACTCTGGGGTTGCGGTGCTCATCTTGCTTTACTGGCTGAGGGAGCTGGCATTGGTCTGCAGACAGTTTTTCCAGGTCATGTGGCCAGCATGACTAAGCCGTTTCTGGCGAACCAGAGCAGCGCACGGAAATGCCGTTTACCTTCCCGCCGGAGCGGTACCTATTTATCTACTTGCACTTTGATGTGCTTTCGAACTGCTAGGTTGGCAGGATTTGGGACCGAGCAACGGGAGCTCACCCTGTCGTGGGGATTCGAACTGCTGTCCTTCTGATTGGCAAGCCCAAGAGGCTCAGTGGTTTAGACCACAGTGCCTCCTGTGTACCTCCTCCCAAATCTCTCCCTCTGACCTACACAGTGTGGGGTAGTGGTTAAGAACAGTGGACTCGTAATCTGGTGAACCGGGTTCGCGTCTCCGCTCCTCCACATGCAGCTGCTGGGTGACCTTGGGCCAATCACACTTCTTTGAAGTCTCTCAGCCCCACTCACCTCACAGAGTGTTTGTTGTGGGGGAGGAAGAGAAAGGAGAATGTTAGCTGCTTTGAGACTTCCTAGGGTAGTGATAAAGCGGGATATCAAATCCAAACTCTTCTCCTTCTCTCCTCTGTGTCCCACCACTGATGCCCTGGCTCTGAGCCTTCCTCCTCTGGTGTTTCCCTTGGGGGGGGGGGTCTCCCTGGCTGGTTCCTCCCACCCCTCCTCTATATCCAGCCCGTCCATGACAGCACCTGCTACACCAGCCTCTGCCAACTTTATGCCCTCCATCAGTTTTGGACTACAACTCCCATTGGCCGCAGCCTGTGTCTGATGAGAGTTGTAGTCCAGTGCACCTGGAGGACAGGAGGTTGGCAAAGACTGCGCTCCACTTTCGACAGGTGAAAGAGATACTCCAGCGGCACCCCCCCTCCCCGTTTCTTGCCTGCAAATTAGGGCGAGAAGCTTTTAGGGAAGCTTTTAATGTCTGATGCATTGCTGTATTTTAATATTTTGTTGGAAGCCACCCAGAGTGGCTGGGGGATCCCAGCCAGATGAGTGCGGTATAAATAATAAATTATTATTGTTGTTGTTAATGTTTAGTCATTTAGCCGTGTCTGATTCTTCGTGACCCCATGTACCAGAGCATGCCAGTCTTCGACTGCCTCCCACATTTTGGTCAAACTCATGCTGGTAGCTTCAAGAACACTGTCCCACCATCTCGTCCTCTGTCATCCCCTTCTCCTTGTGCCCTCCATCTTTCCCAACATCAGGGTCTTTTCCAGGGAGTCTTCTCTTCTCATGAGGTGGCCAAAGTATTGGAGCCTCAGCTTCAGGATCTGTCCTTCCAGTGAGCACTCAGGGCTGATTTCCTTCAGAATGGAGAGGTTTGATCTTCTTGCAGTCCATGGGACTCTCAAGAGTCTCCTCCAGCACCAGAATTCAAAAGCATCAATTCTTCGGCGATCAGCCTTCTTTATGGTCCAGCTCTCACTTTCATACATCACTACTGGGAAAAACTGTATGGTTTTAACTATACGGACCTTTGTTGGCAAAGTGATGTCGCTTCCTTTTCTGAAGGTTGTCTGCTCTCTGGGTGACCAAATCCACGTTTTCAAAATGCCTAGATGCTTTGTTCCTTTCAACACCAGTGCATTCTTATTTTAATTTTGATTTCCCCTCCTCCCCAATTAGTTTCCGTTTCACTCAGCAGCAAAAAAACAAAAACCTCCCCCGAAACCACTTCCCTTGTCAGATACCAATAGCATTTCCAGAAGCTGATCTTATTCACTGAAACCGGGGAGCCAGGAGGAAAGAGGCCACTTGAAGGACAACTTTGCTGGACTGGTTCCTATCTAATCTAAGCTCGGTCCTTTTCTCCCTGGGCCTTGGGAGGGTGGAGGTGGGGGATTAGCTTTCCTTTCTAGACTGTTCCTGGGGGCTACGTCAAGGTTAGCTAATCTCCAGCGCGTCTTAATTCCCTTTTTTTGCTGATTTGAAGGACGAAAATGCATCCTAAGAAAGGAGTATTGGTTGGAAGTTCCCTCCTTTCGCCACTAGGGGGCACTGCTCTTCCATCTACATAGAAGGACGCAGCCGCTGATACGCCAGTGGTTAAATAAAATAAAATAACGAGGCACCGAACGGAAAATAACAAGCAAGGAAAGTCCATGTCAGGCACAGGGAGTTTTGCTCCTGCCGAGTGTAGAAACCGGGGAGGGAAAAAGATTGCATGCATTTTGAAATCCACCGTTTTGCTAAATCCGCAAACATCAAAGCCTTCTCTGGTTCCCTCTGTTGGATCCAGTCTGTTAGATCCACCTGAGGCTCCAATCTTCTCACATTCAGAGCTCTTTGCCTCTCCTTATCTTTTATCTTTCCCCTCGTATTTCGGCCAAAGACCTTTGTTCCTCCAATTCTACCAGCCGCTCAAAAAACCCAGGGGTGGGATTTGCTGTTTTCCTCTTATGGAGTGTCAAGCATTGAAATATAAGGAGAGGTTGCTGGATCAGGCCAATGGTCCATCTTGTCCAGCATCCTGTTCTCACAGCAGCCAGCCAACCAGGTGCCCCAGTGGAAAACCCGCAAGCAGGATTCGAACACAGGACTCGGGAACACAGGAAGCGACCTTACACTGAGTCCCATCTAGCTCAGTACTGTCTACACTGAGTGACAGTGGCTGTCTGGGATTTAAGGCAGGAGTCTCTTCCCAACCTTACCTGGAGATGCCAGGTGGGGATTGAACCTGCGGACCTTCTGCTTGCCAGCCAGGGGCTCTACCACTGAGCTGTGGCCCCTCCTGTGGTTTCCAGCAGCTGGGACTTAGAAGCATTGCTGTTTCCAGCAGTGGAGGCAGAGCTTCTTCTTTCTTTCTTCTTCTTTGGCTATCACTCGTAGCCGAGTAAGATGGTCTTCCATGAACATGGTTTTAACAGTGAGTCCGTAAGTGAATGTGGAGGCCAATTCTGGATCCACACGTCCTTCCATTGTGGGGACATTGGTTTCCGAGCGGGAGTTAATCACGGTGTGGATTTTCCAAGCGTGCCTTCCTCTTAGCACGTTTCTCCCTTGCGTCCTGAGTTCAAGCGTCTTCAAAGCCCATGACACCTTTGATAAAGGCTGTTCTCCAACTAGAGCAATCACAGGTCAGTGTTTCCCAATTGTTGGTTTTTGGCGTGGGTTAAACCACAGAGCCTAGGACTTGCCGATCAGAAGGTCGGTGGTTCGAATCCCTGTAACGGGGTCTCAGCTCCCGTTGCTCAGTCCCAGCTCCTGCTCACCCAGCAGTTTCAAAGCACGTCAAAGTGCAAGTAGATAAATAGGTACCGCTCCAGCAGGAAGGTAAACGGTGTTTCCGTGTGCTGCTCTGGTTTTCTAGAAGCAGCTTAGTCATGCTGGCCACATGACCTGGAAGCTGTACACCAGCTACCTTGGCCAATAAAACAAGATGAGTGCTGCAACCCCAGAGTCAGCCACGACTGGACCTAATGGTCGGGGGTCCCTTTACTGTTATACTACATTTTTTTTAGATTTGCCTTGAGACAGTCTTTAAACCTCTTTTGTTGACCACCAGCATTACGCTTTCCATTTTTAAGTTGGGAATAGAGTAGTTGCTTTGGAAGACGATCATCAGGCATCCGCACAACATGACCAGTCTAACAAAACCGATGTTGAAGAATCATCACTTTGACCCTGGGGATCTCTGCTTCTTCCTGTACATTGGCATGCATAGCTCCCATGGCTAGTGACCATCAATAGCGCTCTCTCCTCCGTGAATTTATCCAATCTTCTTCTAAAGCCATCCAAGTTGGTGGTAATCACTGCCTCTGGCTGGCCATTGTGGGAACAGCAGGTTGGACGAGATGGACCACTGGCCTGATCCAGCACCAGACTGTTACATTCTAGAGGCATCAGCAGATCCACCTTGAGCTGATCCACCTTTAAAGCCATCTAGGTGGGTGGCCATTGCTGTCTCCTGTGGGAGTGAGTTCCATAGTTGATATATGAACTGCATGGAGAAGTATTTTATTTTACCTGTCCTGCCTGTGGATAGTTTTTTCACCTGTGGAGGGGGACCAGAAAGATCAAGGGTCTGGAAACCAAGCCTTATGAGGAATGGTTGAGGGAACTGGGTCTGTTTAACCTGGAGAAGGTGATAGGATAGCCATTTCCAAATATCTGACCCATGCTAGATGGAGCAAGCTTGTTTTCTGCAGGACCCAAATGAATGGATTCAAGTTACAAGAAAGAACTTTCAGGTGGTGAGAGCTGTTTCAAAGTTTCCTCCAATGTTATTCCTAATTACTAGTCCCAGCCTCATCCAAGACTAGTCTTTGAATGTCACCTGTCACTCTAACTCAGCCGAATTGCAAATACTATTCCTAAAGGACTCTGTTTTTAGGAAGTTCAAATTGTAGGGTGGTTTTTTTTTGGGGGGGGGATGCTGTATAGGTTGTGATGTCTGAAAACTACAAAAATTTTATCTGGAGGTTGAAGTCATTAAACAAAATCACAAGATTTTTTAATATATTTTCCATCAAAGCGGCAAAGATGAACAATATTTTATTTCTACTGTTTTAGAACATTGGTTTCCATATGACCAGTGTGTTTGCTGGAGGTTGGTGGAAGCAATATTTAAGGCAGTTCAGCCTCTGAGAAGCAGGGGACGTGTGGCACTGCAGTGATTAAAATGCTAGCTGGTCGCTTTGGATAGATGAATTTTGCTACTTGATCTGAGGCATGGAACTTTCCCTGACCTTGGAGAATCAGCCGACTCTCAGAAAAGATACATTGGCTACTGCAGAAGAAGAACGGCGTGCAGTTTAGGATGGACTTAGCCCCTCACCCCAAAAATGGTTGATCATTTAATTATCTCACATATGCTCTACTTTTTCCCCATCCTGGAGCTCAGATCAGCTTATAAATGGTTCCCAAAAGGTCTCCCATTCAGGCAGCTTGAAAAGTGAGCCCTGCTTATTTTTAGCAGCAAAACTCTGCCAGGTGCCTCCAAATCTCTCTCTCTCACACACACAAATGCCAGACATCAAATAGCAAGGGAGCCATCTTTTATTTGGGGAGGGGATATTACAAATCTAGAGCTCGATAGGCCCCACTGTGATTCACACCATCAATATCATTTGTTAATGTGAAAGGAGACTCTACTCCAAGAATCACAAATTTGTAGAGTTGCAGGGGACCCCCGGTATACCTGAAGGAGCATCTCCACCCCCATCGTCCTACCCGGACACTGAGATCCAGCACCGAGGGCCTTCTGGCGGTTCCCTCACTGCGAGAAGCAAAGCTACAGGGAACCAGGCAGAGGGCCTTCTCGGTGGTGGCTCCTGCCCTGTGGAACGCCCTCCCATCAGATGTCAAAGAGATAAACAACTACCTGACATTTAGAAGACATCTGAAGGCAGCACTGTTCAGGGAAGTTTTTAATGTGTGACATTGTAGTGTATTTTTAATCTTTGTTGGAAGCCGCCCAGAGTGGCTGGGGAAGCTCAGCCAGATGGTTGGGGTACAATTATTATTATTATTATTATTATTATTATTATTATTATGCAGGAAAAGCAGCTAAATAATCCCTGACCAAAGGCCACCCAGCCTCTGCTTCCAGTGAAAGAGAGTCTACCACCTTCCATTCAACCTTTAAACAGCTCTTACTGATAGAGCTTGGCTCTGTAATCGATAACTTTGTGGGGTAATTTACAGCAGGGGGTGTTGTAAATTCAGGTTGGGGGTTCATTCTGGGGGCTGACTGCAGTCTTCCTGGCACCTCTCACTCGGCTTTGGGGTGCTAGCCAGGCAACAACCTTCACTGGCCTTGCTCCACATCTTCCTTAAATGTGTGGGAATGTTCCGGGGGGCAGGAGAGGATATATTATGCTTCTTGGGAGAAACGTGATGACAAACCTAGACAGCATCTTTAAAAGCAGAGACCTCACCTTGCTGACAAAGGCCCGTAGAGTTAAAGGTATGGTTTTCCCAGTAGTGATGTATGGAAGTGAGAGCTGGACCACAAAGAAGGCTGATTGCCAAAGAATTGATGCTTTTGAATTATGGTACTGGAGGAGACTCTTGAGAGTCCCATGGACTGCAAGAAGATCAAACCGATCCATTCTGAAGGAAATCAGCCCTGAGTGCTCACTGGAAGGACAGATCCTGAAGCTGAGGCTCCAAGACTTTGGCCATCTCATGAGAAGAGAAGACTCCCTGGAAAAGACCCTGATGTTGGGAAAGATGGAGGGCACAAGGAGAAGGGGATGACACAGTCAGAAAAACTAAACAAAAAAGAGCCGCAAAAACAGAAATGCAAAATAAATAGCAAAAACGAGAAGTGTAGCACTCAAAACGGAAAGTGTGGCACTCAAATCGGAAGCGCAACACTCAAAACGGAGCATGTTTAGATTCCAAAGAAAGTTTGCAAACTGGAACACTTACTTCCGGGTTTGCAGTGTTTGGGTTCCAAGTTGTTTAAGTCCCAAGGCGTTTGAGAACCAAGGTACCACTGTATGTTAGATTAATTCCGTAATCTTAATTATATTTTATTGTCATCTTGATATTGTTTTCCTCTGCCTTTTAAAATGTTTTAATTTATATTTTCTTTTTCTTTCTTTAACTCATTGCCATATTCTTAATAACATTTGACAAACAAAACCAAAAGATGGTCATGCACTGTTTGAGAAAGCGGGAATTGGTTAGATTCACTTTAAAACATGGATTGAATTTAATTTCACTCCCACCCCTACTCAGAAGTAAGTCCCTTGATGTCTCAGTGAGGCTTACTCCCAGGTAAGTAGGTATAGGTTTGCAGCCTCAGGCCTCTAAATATTAACTGAGACCAAAAAGGCAATGCAGGGATGCGAGTGCCGGTCGATATTAGAGCTTGCGTTCAGGTATTATTTGAATCCGCGCTGGCTGTGGTGAGTAGTTCAGGCTGCATGCAAGCCAACAATTAGAAAATCAATGCTGAGGAGGAAGTGAATAGGAACATGCAAGACAGATGGGGAAATTCTCTTCTGCTTTTGACAGGCAAGTATATCATGGTAGCTTATTCGGATATAACTGACATTCTTCATCAAAGATTCTTCCAAGGTCCTAAGCTATCTGTCACAGAATGTGCTGGGGCTCTCTTCTGCTTGGGGGTATAAATCTGCTGGGATAAAAGAAGCCATTGCTGTTGGTGGAGCACATTAGGACTGGAGGGGTTTGTATACCAGTGCTGCTTCCTTAACCTTGAAGTGGTGTGTGTGTGCGCACACACTTGCTTAATTTTCAAAATGAGAAATGGCACTTCCATCTGCCCAGAAACCAAACACACCCAGTGCCAGATTTATGTATAAGCTAAGCAAGCTATAGCTTAGGGCCCCACTCTCTTGGGGGTCCCCAAATAATAATAATAATAATAATAATAATAATAATTTATTATTTATACCCCACCCAAGTTGGTGGTAATCACTGCCTCTGGCTGGGTTTCTCCAGCCACTCTGGGCGGCTTCCAACAGAATATTAAAATACAATAGTCTATTAAGCAATAAAAGCTTCCCTAAACAGGGCTGCCTTCAGATGTCTTCTAAAAGTCTGGTAGTTGTTTTTGTCTTTGACATCTGGTGGGAGGGCGTTCCACAGGGCGGGTGCCACTACCGAGAAGGCCCTCTGCCTGGTTCTCTGTAGCTTTGCTTCTCGCAGTGAGGGAACCGCCAGAAAACCCTTGGAGCTGGACCTCAGTGTCCGGGCAGAATGATGGGGGTGGAGACGCTCCTTCAGGTATACTGGATCAAGGCCATTTAGGGGTTTAAAGGTCAGCACCAATGCTTTGAATTGTGCTCAAGAAAATACTGGGAGCCAATGTAGGTCTTTCAAGACCGGTGTTATGTGGTCTTGGCAGCCGCTCCCAGTCACCAGTCTAGCTGCTGCATTCTGGATTAGTTGCAGTTTCTGGGTCACCTTCAAAGGTAGCCCCACATAGAGCGCATTGCAGTAGTCCAAGTGAGAGATAACTAGAGCATGCTATACTCTGGCGAGACAGTCTGCGGGCAGGGAGGGTCTCAGCCTGCGTACCAGATGGAGCTGATAAACAGCTGCCCTGGACACAGATTTGACCTGCGCCTCCATGGACAGCTGTGAATCCAGAATGACTCCCAGGCTGCGCACCTGGTCCTTCAGGGGCACAGTTACCCCATTCAGGACCAGAGAGTCCTCCACACCTACCTGCCTCCTGTCCCCCAAAACATTTAAAGGAAAAAAAACCCTGGATGTACATTTCCAAAATAAACGTCTTTCCTTCTGCAGTGTTGGATGGCAGGTTGAGAGGAGTTCCCTGCCAGGACAGACTTTGCCTGTGCGCTCAAGACATCGATTCTATAAAACATATTTTGCTGCATTGTGCGAAATATGAGCAAGCCAGGGCTGAACTGATACTGTGGTACCTCGGGTTACATACGCTTCAAGTTACACACTCCACTAAGCGAGAAATAGTAATTCAGGTTAAGAACTTTGCTTCAGGATGAGAACAGAAATTGTGCTCTGGCAGCGCAGCAGCAGCAGCAGCAGCAGGAGGCCCCATTAGCTAAAGTGGTGCTTCAGGTTAAGAACAGTTTCAGGTTAAGTACGGACCTCCGTAATGAATTAAGTACTTAACCCGAGGTACCACTGTATTACCCTTGCTGGTACCTTTCCCGGGAAAATCAGAGGCTCACTATGTCAGGTTCCTATTGGAAGACCGGACAAACGCTAGAACATTAGCAGTGGTGAAGTTTTTATCGGTGGTTGCAAGAACCAATGATCCCTATCTTTAAGTCGGAACAAAATGCTTGTTTAACCTGGAGGTAGGCTGTCTGAATTGTGCATTGCGTTGTAACGATTTATTGAGTCTCTGGACCGTAATAAAGACTGATTGATTGATTGATTGATTGATTGATTCAACTATATTCGGGTCTGGTGGGGATGCTCTCATTCAGGAAGTCGGATTGTGCCATGAAATCTCTCCAGAGCAACCCTAACTCTCCTAGAGCCCACAAGCAACACCAAGAGCTTAGAAGCCTTTTTTGCAAGCTGATAGCCCAGTTGGTAAAGCATGAGACTGTTCATATCAAGGTCATGGGTTTGAGCCCCATGTTGCATGAAGGATTCCTGATTGCTAGGTGTTGGACAAGAAGATCGTTGTGGTCCCTTCCAGCTTTCCAGTTCTATGATCCCTAGGTGTTCAATAGGTCTACTCTGAGTATTTCTAACACCGGATATAATCCTTTGCTTCTGCCAGTTGCTTTCAATGCACTCTAAATGCACCTGACTTGGTCTAGATTAAAATCACACCCACTGTATGTTATTCACCATCCTCCAGTTTCTACTGAGCGCATCTAGTTTCACTGCAGAAGTCAGCTAGAAGACAAGCTCTTCCCATAATGTTTCTTCTTCATTTTCCTTTCTCTCTTTTTTTTGGTCTTGTGTCAGTTTGGTTAATTAGTCAGACTAATGAAACCAGTGGAGCCTGAGAAAAGGTCAACGAGAGCTCCAATTTTGGAGCAAAATTAGAAGTGGGCGATTAAAACAGAGCTGGATCAAAGGATCTGTGGCATTTGACAACGAACAAAAAGACAAAGGGCTTATCCACACTTTCTTTTGTGCTGTGTATTTAGGCACAGGTCTGGGCTTTAAAGTTACATGTCCAAATATTTTTTTTGTCTGGTACTTTCCCAGGAAAACCTACGTTTTACCACTGAAACAGAGCAAACTGCCAAACATGGAAAACCAGATTGCCATTTGCTCCGATTCAGTAGTAAAAGGTGGGCTTTCCCAGAGAAAGCACCGCAACATAAAAATGTTTGGATACAGAGCAGAGGTCAGCAAACTTTTTCAGTAGGGGGCCGGTCCACTGTCCCTCAGACCTTGTGGGGGGCCGGACTATATTTTGAAGGGGAGAAAATGAATGAATTCCTATGCCCCACAAATAACCCAGAGATGCATTTTAAATAAAAGGACACATTCTACTCATGTAAAAACACACTGATTCCCGGACCGTCCACGGGCCAGACTAAGAGGGCGATTGGGCCTGATCCAGCCCCCAGGCCTTAGTTTGCCTACCCATGATACAGAGCTCTAAAGCTCAGACCTAGATAATGCACTATGAAAGTTAGTTTGGATGAGCCAAAAGGGGCTGGAAGTTTAACCCCTTTTGGCAGTCGCATCCAAGAGCAAATAGCACCCCCCCACTCCAAAGGGACGCAGGTGGTGGTGTGGGTTAAACCACAGAGCCTAGGACTAGCTGATCAGAAGGTCGGCGGTTCAAATCCCCGCGACGGGGTGAGCTGCCGTTGCTTGGTCCCAGCTCCTGCCAACCTAGCAGTTTGAAAGCACGTCAAAGTGCAAGTAGATAAATAGGTACCGCTCCGGTGGGAAGGTAAACGGCGTTTCCGTGCGCTGCTCTGGTTCTCCAGAAGCGGCTTAGTCATGCTGGCCACATGACCAGGAAGCTGTACGCCGGCTCCCTCGGCCAATAAAGCGAGATGAGTGCCGCAACCCCAGAGTCGGTCATGACTGGACCTAATGGTCAGGGGTCCCTTTACCTTTTACTCCAAAGAAAACACCCTGATATCTCTCCTGTGTACAGGTCCCTCTGTGTGATTCTGCCTGTCCACCAACCTACCATGTGTGACCATGTAAGGGCCAGCAGAAGTATGACCTACAGCTTCACTCACTTCATCAATTACTGGACCTCTGTATTATTGTTTTTATTATTTTATATATCCTGCTTTGCTCCCAGCGTGGGATTCCGGGTGGCTTACAAATCATTGATCATAGAATCTAATAGTTGGAAGGGACCCCAGAGGTCATTTAGTCTAATCCGCTGTGATGCAGAAATCTTGCCCACAGATAAAAGACAAGAAGCTGAAAAACATATAAATGATGATTGTCAAAAGTTATTAAGCTCTCGTAAAAACAAAATAAAACCAATCTATTAAAATACAGAGAATAAAACAGTCAAGAACTATTTTATTTTATTTTTAAGGAAAGGGCTTTATTTACACCAGTGTTTCTCAACCTGTGGGTCCCCTAATGTTGTTGGACTACAACTCCCATCATTCCTAGCCAGCATGATCAGTGGTCAGGGGTGATCATGTAGTCCAACAACATCTGGGGACCCACAGGTTGAGAACCGCTGATTTAGACTAACTTTTTTTTTTAAGTTAGTACCCCATAGTCTGTAGGGATAAGAAAGTATTTGACTGCTGGCGGAAGGACAGTAAGGAGCGAGCCAGTCTAGCTCCTCTAGGAAGGATGTTTCCAAATCTGGGAGGAACCATCACTGAGAAGGCCCTCTCCCCATCCTTACCAAGGATGTCTGAGAGGTGGTGGGACTGAAAGAGGGGTCTCCCTCAACCAGAGGCCCACGGGAAACCCACAAGTAGGATTTAAGCACAAGAGCATCCTTCCTCCCTGTGGTTTCCAGCAACTGGTGCCCAGAAGCATAACTACCTCCAGCTGTGAAGGCCACCGTGTGTCAGACTTCAAGGGAATCCAGTTGCCCTGCCTCACGACTGGATGCCAGAAGTGGAAAACAAGACTTTCTTACCCATGTATTTATTCAAGATTCACAGAGAAATATGGAGGGTGCAGCCACTCAGATAATAGTGTTGTTCTAACTGGGCTCCTTCCTTCTCCCTTCCTAGCAACAACATTTTCCCTTTACGGTGGCCGCCAGGGGTTAAATGTCTCTGAGTCTTTTGCTCTTGCACTTTCAATGCACGCCAGGTTCTGGGAGAAGAGGGATTGGGAATGCTTTCCAGTGATAATGTGTCAGCTGGCTGCTCTGTCTCTGTCTCCACCCTCCCTCTTCTCCCAACACCTCCCAACTCTTCTGTTCACCTGTCTTTGAATTGTGACCTTCCTCAAACCACTGCTGCAAATCAATACTGCCTTCCTGCTCTCTGGAAGGTTCAAGAGGTGGGAGAGTGGTCTCCACCATTCCTCATCAGTCCAGTCCCCTTCAGTGCAGTCCCTGATATTGTGTCTACCAGCCATCAATATGAATGGGAAGCGACCTTGACCATCATCTCAGACTGCAAAATATCTGGCCCTGACTCTTCTTGCAGTGCCATTTCATTACATTCCTATTAGGTGTTGTCAGGTGTGTGTGCAGGAGCCAGGCCCTGTGACCAATAGGACTTTGCAGGTCTGGCGCCTTCCTAAGTTTGTTCTGAAGAGGCAAGGTGCGGCCTCACAGGTGAGGCTGATTGGTAACTCACAGCACCTGGTGGCAAGAGCTGGGAAGGGATATAAGGTCAGCATTTCCCTTCGGCTCTTTGCCACAGCAACATGCTTCCTGCCTTGAGCTTCTTGCTTCCTGATCCTTGAACCTCGGCTTCTTGACTCCCTGCTTCTTGATCCTTGGACCCTTGACTTCTTGACTCCTTGCTTCTTGATCCTCGGACCCCTGGCTTGTTGAATCCCGGCTCTCTGACCCTTGGACTCTTGGCTTCCTGGCTTTTGGACCCCCGTTCCTGCTCCCCCCCATCTTGCCCCTGGTCCTGACGTCCCCTGCCGGGACTTCAATTGCCCATGAACCGGACCATGACAGGTGTCTGATGAAGCAGCCAGTATTGGAAACCCATCCTGGAGATGCTGTAGCCATGTCCTTAGGGTGCAACAAGGCAATCACACCTCCTCTTCTGTATATTGAATCCTAGCATCACAGAGCTGTAGAGTTTGAAGGGACTCCAAAGGTCATCTGCTCCAACCCCCTGCAATGCAGGAACCACACTTTGCCCCACAAGGAGAACAGCGTGTGCATGTTGACTGCATCAACTTGCTGGCTTGTTCTGCTGAGCATGACTGATATTTTCTCTTGTGGAGACACTGGGGAAATACTAATTGCCCTCATCTGTCAGCCCCTTCTGTAGGTGACGGAGTCTCTTGCGTGCATCCCTCTCTGTTGCTCTTGCGTCTGAGTGTGTAGGCATAGAGGAAGACTCCCCTTTCGAGGAAGACACAACAAGGAGGCAGTTGTGTGGAACCAAAGTAACAAAACATAAACAGCATGTGGGATGCAGAAAGCAGGAAGATCTGCTGGTCCCGTGAATCACACATTCATGTCAAGGAGGAAGAGAAGCAACACTGACAAACACACCCAAGCAATGACTAAGAAGGAACAATAGAATTGTACAGTCGAAAGAGACCCAAGGGGTCATCTAGTCCAACTATCTGCATTGCAGGAATCTTAGAGAAAGCATCCATGACAGATGGACATCCAACCTTTGCTGAAAATAAACCTTCAAGGAAGGAGAGTCCACCACCTTCCTAAGGAGTCCATTCCACTGTTGAACAGCTCTTACAGCCAGAAAGTTCTCCCTGATGTTTAGTCAGAATCTCCTTTCTTGTAACTTAAATCCCGTGGTGGCCTGGGACGCGGGCTCAGACTCGGAGCCAGAGGAGTCTCGGTCCGCACTGATTCCTTTGCCTCAGGCATCATCTGAACCAAGTCTGGGGCCTGATTCTGAAGAGTCCCAGTCTGCACAGGTTTCCCTGCAACAAGCACCAGCTGGGCCGAGTCAGGGGCTTGAGCCTGCCCTGGCTCCAGATGCGGGGGTTACCTCGTTGCCTTCAGCTGGGCCATCACTTACAGCTGCTCCACTACCGCTTGGGTCAGGGGAGGCTGAGGCAGCCTCTGGGTCTAGTAACCCACCGACGTCTCCCGAGCTGCAGAGACTAAGGTCTGAGAAGGAGAGACCTAAGTACTTGCAGGAGGAGTGCTCGCCTTCGGGTGAGACAGGGAGGTGAGTCGCCGGGGGATCAGGACCGGCCGTTACCCTGACAGAGATAAAAGGCTGCCGCACCCCACCCCAGGTTGCAGGAGCAATGTTGCTGTTTGCCAGAACCTGCCTGTGATCCTGTGCCTGACCTTGCCTGGTCTCCTGCCTTGGCCCTGTCGGACTGACTCCTCATGGAACCCTTGGATTCGAGACCGGACCTGGACAGCGTTGCTTGGGTTAACCCCGGGCCCCGCACAAATCCATTGGTATACCCATAGGGGTCCCCCCCCCGGTTTGGTCCCTATTGCACATTCCCTGGGTTCACATTCCTGATCTCCATTCTGCAGTGAGGAAAAGCATATTTGCGCTGCTTCATTCCCGTGTGAAGCAAGTTGCGGGCTGCCACAGTGCAACACGCTTCCTGTATTATAATAGCAAGAATCCCAGGGGTGCTTTGTAGCCGTTGTGTCACAAAATGCAGAGGAGGAAACAAATGGATCTGCACAATGCGGACCCAACTGTTCCAACAAAGGAAACTCGAGCATTCTCCCAGCTTTCAATCTCTGCTTGTGTACAATGCTATTTTACTTTCCTCTCATACAGATTTAGCACTTTCATAATCTATCTATCTATCTATATGTATGTAAAGACAGTCAGTAGGCGGTTTGGCCAAGAGGCCAGGCAGGAGATCTATTGAGTCGCTTGTCAGGAGATGCGGACTATTGTTCCTTACCAGCAGGAGAGGCAAACCTTTCTACCTTCTTGAACACAGCTCTGGCCCTTACATAACTTCAGTTTTTTTAGGAAGATTCAAGGATACGTCATCCAGCATTCTGCCTTCTCACGAGAAGCCTTGCTTCTAATTTCAACTTTTGCGTTGACCAAAACTAGGGACTCTGGGCCTCATCAATAGGAGTATAGCATCTAGATCAAGGGAAGTAATAGTGCCACTGTATTCTGCTCTGGTCAGACCTCACCTGGAGTACTGTGTCCAGTTCTGGGCACCACAGTTCAAGAAGGACACTGACAAACTGGAACGTGTCCAGAGGAGGGCAACCAAAATGGTCAAAGGCCTGGAAACGATGCCTTATGAGGAACGGCTAAGGGAGCTGGGCATGTTTAGCCTGGAGAAGAGGAGGTTAAGGGGTGATATGATAGCCATGTTCAAAGATATAAAAGGATGTCACATAGAGGAGGGAGAAAGGTTGTTTTCTGCTGCTCCAGAGAAGCGGACACGGAGCAATGGATCCAAACTACAAGAAAGAAGATGCCACCTAAACATTAGGAAGAACTTCCTGACAGTAAGAGCTGTTCGACAGTGGAATTTGCTGCCAAGGAGTGTGGTGGAGTCTCCTTCTTTGGAGGTCTTTAAGCAGAGGCTTGACAACCATATGTCAGGAGTGCTCTGATGGTGTTTCCTGCTTGGCAGGGGGTTGGACTCAATGGCCCTTGTGGTCTCTTCCAACTCTTCTATGATTCTATGATTCTAGGGAGGGAAGTAGATGCCATGCACAGAATCTACTTGTTATTGTCAAGCAAATCTAGGACAAAGCCAAAGGGGTCTCAAACTCACTGAAGCTCTCATCGTGCTTCTGGTTCCCAGCTGAATGGGCAGAACGGACAAAAGAAAGTACTTTTTTACACAGTGCCAAATTAAACTATGGAAATTGCTCCACCAACAGCCACCAACTTTGAAGAGGACTAGACATATTCATAGGGGTAAGGATATTGGTGGTCATGCTCTACCTCCACAGCTGGGTACTGTCTTCTCCTGACCCGGAAGCTGTACGCCGGCTTCCTCAGCCAATAAAGCGAGATGAGCACCGCAACCCCAGAGTCGGCCACGACTGGACCTAATGGTCAGGGATCCCTTTACCTTTAAGCCAATACCACTCACATCCTGTAATCAATAAAGTTGTGGCCTTTTTTAGCCCATTAACCTAATATACTGCGTCCTTGTGTCTTTCTTATCGTCAGGTGGGTGGCGGATCCTCGACTCACAATAGCTGCATCTCCGTGGAATTGGCGATCGATCCTGCTCCACAAGAGAACTTCCTGTACTGTCCAAAATGCCAGCCCACTCAGGTCAACAGACACCTCTCCCCTCCACTTCTACGTTACATCCTATTCTGCGGAGTGCTAGCAATAAATCTGGGAATGGAGTGATTCATCCCTCCACTCAGAAGCCCAAGGAAAATGAGCTGAAAACCAATATTGAACAAAATGTTGGTCCATGGCAGCCTTGCATTAAGTGGCTCTGAGCTGGCATATAAATGAGTCACTTTAAAAAAAAAATATGAAGAAAAAGGACTGAAAATTATAACCTGGAATATGAATCACTTGCTGAAACCATCAGGACAGGACTGGAGATAAGTGGAAAGTATGGGGGATTTGAGCGATTTCCACCAGAAAAATATAATTAAAGGCACAATTTCTGGTAAAATGGACTCTATTTTTTATTGGGGGCGTAATCTACCATCTGCACCCCTATAGTCCCAGAGCTTTAATCTGATTGGTATCAAATGTAATGAGCCCAAGTAAATTGATTAGTGGGTTCAAACATACATTGAGGAAAATGCAAGATAAGTGATAACAGTGAATCACTTCATAGGGAATGCTCATCTCGACCATGTTTCCACTGAATCTTGCGAGAAGTTCTCTTCAGGGTCTTATTCAGTGTGGTAATACCATCCTCCTTCCTGTAGAAACATAGGAAAATTCATAGTCTTGTGGAGATTGTGCTTTACTGGCTTGGTGTGAAGAAAATAGAACAAGGAAAAAAATTGTCATTATCAGTAAAGGTAAAGGGACCCCTGACCATTAGGTCCAGTCATGGCTGACTCTGGGGTTGCAGCACTCATCTCGCTTTACTGGCCGAGGGATCCGGCGTACAGCTTCCAGGTCACGTGGCCAGCATGACTAAGCCGCTTCTGGTGAACCAGAGTAGTGCATGGAAACGCCGTTTACCTTCCCGCTGGAGCAGTACCTATTTATCTACTTGCACTTTGACGTGCTTTCAAACTGCTAGGTGGGCAGGAGCAGGGACCGAACAATGGGAGCTCACTCCGTCAAGGGGAATCGAACCGCCAACCTTCTGATCGGCAAGTCTTAGGCTCTGTGGTTTAACCCACAGCGCCACCCGCATCCCTCACAGTGGAGGTCACCAAATAACATTGCTTTGTTGATAGGCAGTCGATTCCAGACACACAAATGAAAGGATGTCTTCACACACTGCACAATTGACATGAGAATCGTTGTTATTCATAGTGGTGGTTAGGGCTAAATTACATGATACATAGCTACATATGACCTGTGCTCTGAAGTGCAGGATATTTTGCACAAATTCCCAGTGTGAGGGCTGATCCAGATTGGGACCTTATTGTGTGTGTGGTGAGGTAGGGAGACCTGAACGCTTTGGTTCCCAATCTGGATCAGGACCGCTGCAATTGCAGTTTGCATCCATAGGAGTTCTTGTACTACATCTCCCAACTTATACTACAACTCCCATCAGCCCCAGCCAACGTTGTCCTGGTCCTCACTGCTGGAGGAAGAGCAACGGACTCAGTTTCTGCTCATGGTGTCAGCTGCCACGTAATGTCAAAGATCTCCTGACGAACATCAAATATTGAAATAAAGTATCCGCTGCTTCCATGTAGAGAATGCACTGACTATTCAGTAAATATTGGGAGAAAGTAATTGTGAATATATTATAAAGGCGAATTTGAAAGAGAGATTATGGAAGAGAGCCATTCAGTCCCATCTTTGGCTGGGAAGCAAAAATCTAAGAAGAGCACTGTTGGGTCAGACTAAAAGGCCAGTTGAAACCGCACCCTCCCCTGTTTCCTACAATGGCCAACCAGACAATTCTATGAGGCTCACCTACACGCATGGACTTGAATGTAATAATCCTCCTCCAATGCAGAAGCAGTTGTGGGTTTGAGGGAGGTCAGTCTGGATGATGGGACGCGGGCGGCGCTGTAGGTTAAACCACAGAGCCTAGGACTTGCCGATCAGAAGGTCAGCGGTTCGAATCCCCACGGGGTGAGCTCCCATTGCTCGGTCCCTGCTCCTGCCCACCTAGCAGTTCAAAGGCACATCAAAGTGCAAGTAGATAACTAGGCACCGCTCCGGCGGGAAGGTAAACGGCGTTTCCATGCGCTGCTCTGGTTTCGCCAGAAGCGGCTCAGTCCTGCTGGCCACATGACCCGGAAGCTGTACGCCGGCTCCCTCGGCCAATAAAGTGAGATGAGCGCCGCAACCCCAGAGTCAGTCACGACTGGCCCTAATGGTCAGGGGTCCCTTTACCTTTAGTCTGGATGATATTTCGAGTCCCTTCTAATCCTTGGGGTCCTCTTCCCAGTTAGACTTAGAATCTAATATAGATGGTTCTATTTCTGAAGTAGTCACACAAGTTTCTTGGTGAAGCAATGACCTTAGCTGGCCGTTCAAGTGTCTTCATCAGCATCACAAAAGAAAGAGCTAATTTGCAAGAGTTGCATCTGAATGATGATGCCGAGGGCCTTCTGGTGGTTCCTTCACTGCGAGAAGCAAAGCTACAGGGAACCAGGCAGAGGGCCTTCTCAGTGGTGGCGCCTGCCCTGTGGAGCGTCCTCCCATCAGATGTCAAAGAGAAAAACAACTACCAGACTTGTAGAAGACATCTGAAGGCAGCCCTGTTAGAGAAGCTTTTAATGTTTAATAGACTACTGTATTTTAATATTCTGTTGGAAGCCGAGTGACTGGGGAAACCTAGCCAGATGGACAGGGTGTAAATTATTATTATTATTATTAGTGGCTCATAGCTGGGCCTTTCCTCCACCTGCCTCACCCAGATACTAGCTAGGAGACCAATAGCCAAAGGGTTGTGTGTGAGCTGAGCTGGAACCAGGCTGGAAGCTGGAGACACAGAGACCTGCTTGCTCTATGCTGGATCCAAAGTTACAACAATTGGAGAAGCCAGATATTTTGGGGGGTGTTAATGCTGTGAGCCCCTCCACCTTATGCTTAGGTTGGAGTTTGCTATGGGAGTGTGAAGCTGCACCACGGAAAGGTGTGGCCTGAGCAGAAGAGGTGTGGAAGAGTTCTGAAGGCCAGCGAGAGAGTCCCAGAAGGTCAAATGTGACCCTGAGACCTGGGGTTCTACACCCTGCAGTTTTTTGAGAAGGTTGGACAGCCCGGGTAAAAACATAGGGACATTATACGGAGTCAATGTCCATTTAACTCAATGTGGCCTAAACTGACCAGCAGCAGTGGCTCTCCCACGTTTGAGGGAGGGGACACTAAGCTACAAACTGGGATGCTTGTTATTCCTTTGGGTCCTTTGAAGGCAACGGTGGCGTCAGAAACTGCCAAGCCTCCATCGATTTGTCACAGCGAGGAGATCACATCAGTTGATTGCTCATGATCCAATATTCAAGATGCGCTCCAATTCCGGAGCAGTGGTAGCAATGACAAAATACAATCTCCCAGCATAAATATATGACTATTTCAATTTAAGTATGTTTTAGCATTCTAACTGCTTGGTCCCATAAGCTTGCGAGAAGTTATAGCTGCTTGGAATTCCATAGGACTGTTGGAAGACTTAATAAAACTGTCTCAGGGACTAATGAATTATTTAAAGACTGCATAAAGTAAATGTAACCTATGCATTTAAAGTAGGAAAATCCACTTTAACTCATCACTCCTGCCGTCTTTATCAATCTCACCAGTTTCTTGTTTCTTTTTCCTTTTTTTAAAAAAGGGAGGGGTGGGATAATATATCAGTATTTTGTTTGTCCAAACCGAATAAATTCAGAATGGAAAGTATTGTCATTTAATTTGGCCCGATCCTTTGCTCTGCATAAATTTATATTGATAAAAAAGGCATTATGTATTCCCTATAGCTTTATTAAGTCATAAAGAAATTCGGAAAAAAGAATTTATTTGGCGAAGGCCTGGGAAGCTGCTCTCTGCGGAAAGAGACTGAGGCAGGGTCTTTGAAGGATAAATGGGGCGTTCTCTCCCCACAAGCCATGACCTTCAACGTGACTGTTGAGGGAAGCATTCCCGCCCCTGCACTTTCCCCAGTAGCAACAGATCACAATATTGAGTAGCCAGATAAAAATGCAATTCATTTCTTGATGTTTGCAAAGTGTAATATTACAGCTCATGCCCCATGATCTTGCTGCCCTTGACTATTCAGATGCTAGAAGGAGCGGTCTCATCTGTTCTTCCCCCAGTTCATGTTTAAAAGACATGATGGCAGCAAAAGATTTTAAATTAAGTGAAGCTGCAGCCCATGAGATAAAAGGCAGCGCGGAGAACATGGGGATGTGGGTTAAGATCCCATTTCTCCAGTTGGGGGACCCTGCTGTTGAACAGCTAAACTCAATATTCTCCAATGAGTTTAAATTGCAAGTAAGGAGATTCTGGGGGTGTGAGATGTTTGGCAGTGGAACGGACTCCCTTGGGGGGGGGGGGTTTAAACAGAGGTTGGGTGGCCATGTGTCAGAGGCTCTTTAGCAGGGATTCCTGCATTGCAGTGAATCAGGACTTGGACGGCTTTAGAAGAAGATTAGACAAGTTCGTGAAGGGTAAGGCTGTTCATGGCTATTAACTACAATGGCTACTAGCCCCTGTTGAAGGCAGTATGCCTCTGAATACAGTGGTAAACGTAAAGGGACCCCTGACCATTAGGTCCAGTCGTGGCCGACTCTGGGGTTGCGGCGCTCATCTCGCTTTATTGGCCGAGAGAGCCGGCGTACAGCTTCCGGGTCATGTGGCCAGCATGACTAAGCTGCTTCTGGTGAACCAGAGCAGAGCACGGAAACGCCGTTTACCTTCCTGCCGGAGCGGTACCTATTTATCTACTTGCACTTTGATGTGCTTTTGAACTACTAGGTTGGCAGGAGCAGGGACCGAGCAACGGGAGCTCACCCAGTCACATTGTTGTTATTGTTGTTGTTTAGTCATTTAGACATGTCCAACTCTTCGTGACCCCTGGACCAGAGCATGCCAGGCACTTCTGTCTTCCACTGCCTCCTGCAGTTTGACCAAACTCATGCTGGTAGCTTCGAGAACACTGTCCAACCATCTCCTCCTCTGTCGTCCACTTCTCCTTGCGCCCTCCATCTTTCCCAACATCAGGGTCTTTTACAGGGAGTCTTCTCTTCTCATGAGGTGGCCAAAGTATTGGAGCCTCAGCTTCAGGATCTGTCCTTCCAGTGAGTACTCAGGGCTGATTTCCTTCAGAATGGATAAGTTTGATCTTCTTGCAGTCTATTGGATCAAATGAGGGATAGCTTCTAAGTTCTTGACACATTACATAAAGCTTTCTTTCTCGGAAGAAGAGATGAACAATAATGGCTGGAAATCTCAGCGAAACAGCTTCAGAGCTATTAGACAAAGAGCTGATCTTTGAGAGGGGGGACTTCTGGGAGAGATCTTGGGAATTGCTGCCATTAACAGCTACTCAGCCCCAATCCCATCCTTTGCTGTTGTTTGTGTTTGTATATCTCATGGCAAACAATGTGTCAGATTTCTCCTTGCAGCAATCCACTTCTCTCTCATCTACAATTCTTCTTCACTTTGCAGGCTCAAAGCTGCTTTTGCCTGCTTTTCAAATTGCACTTAACTGCAACTGCAAAGTATGCTACCACTCCAGCTCTTGTCAAAGGCAGAACATGAAAGGTGGCATTGTGTGGGTGTGTGGGTGTGCATGCGCATACGTTTTGGCATCGCCTTTCTGGGGAGCTGTTTTTATTTTTTAAGAGACAGAAGGAAAACAACAACTGAGCAGTTATGTACTTTTGACGTGCTCAAGTCTAGGGATGGTCCAATAATTTTTGCCGCCTGAGGAGAACCAGAAAATGGCACCCCCCACCATGTCTCAATCCTACAAGAAAACAACACTTTGTTCCACATGTGGTGGGACTGTCCGAAGATTGTTGTCAGGAATTGGCTGGATGAAGAGGAGTGGTGGGAGGCACCGGCTGATGAACCCCCAAGAGAAGGAAGGCTCAGAGCCAGAGCATTGGTGGTGGGACACAGGAGAGGTCAGAGGGAGAAGATTGGTGGGATGTTGGAAGGGGCATCAGGGTTTAGTGAGCAGGAGGAGCCTGTGACAGGGAGCAGTTCAGAGACCGAGGCTGATGTGGGAATGTTCAGGGTGGCAGGAGAGGATATATTGCTTATTAATGTCCTTCCTAACTTGGGCTAGCAAGTTTCTTTACTTAGCAGAGTTTACATTCCCCTTTTACATGCATAGCAGATAGCTGGTTGCAAGCTCATGTGAGCTTCTCACTATTATACAATTCCATCTGTATCAGATTGAATTGTACGTTCCTGGTAAGATCCCTTGAATCCCTCTTAAAAGAATATAGACGCCACAATCTTGTTCAAAGTCAATAAAGGACGTTTACTCACATCAGTTCACAGTTGGATCCCTGAAGGCAGACTTAGTTACAAATATGTACATGTGGATCTACCCCATATGGTGGAATAATTCCACTATCTCTGCTAGCTGAGAGCTAGCAGAGCAGTCCTGGCTAAAAGCTGGTCAAACGAAGAAGGAAGTCCAAAAAAGAGGGAGAGAGTGCTGCGTGACTTGTCCTTTTGTTACCTGGACAGGTTAGGTCATGCCCACCTTCTGTCACATGCAAAAGGAAGGATGCTCCAGCCAGGAGGAACAGGAAGTTTCGACTGGCTGGACCAAACATTCCCTCGCATGTCTTCTCTAGCATTTCAAGGAATGTTGTACTTGACTGCCTCTCATGGATTACATCCCACAGCTGAAGCAGAGGAGGGCAATCAAGAAACTGCTGAAGAATCCAGGGAGCCTCTGTCTCCTGCTGTGACAAGCTCCCCTCTCCCCTGGTCTCCAAGAACATACAGAATAACAAGGAGGGCAGAACAGAGGCCAGAGGTGCACAGACAAAGTATGAGACTGCTTGGGAAACATCTGGGAAAGGAGGAGCCTTAGAAAGGGTGGAAGACAGGGACCTTCAGTCCTGGCAACTGCTCCAGAGGGGGAAGACCTGCTGGGTAGGTTTGCCGAGTTGTATGCTATTTCCTTGAAGAAAGAGTTAACTTCACTGACATCTTTCATGCCAACCTGTGTCTGACTCCAACCCTGACAAATATCTACTTCTGGACCAAAGTCCTTCAACTGATAAGCCAGAACACCAAACCATCTGTCTCACCTGAACCTAAAGTGGCTTTACTTTCCAACTTTTCATGATAGTTCTGGATTTGTCTCACACAGATCTTATTGCTCAGCTGTTAATGACTCCTAAATTTGTCATGGACAGATACTGGAGAACTCTCAGTATGAACCTTTTTGAAGCACAGTTGTCACAGGTATGAGACATATCGTATTTACTCAAATCTAATGCATACTTTTTTTTGCCAAATTATGTTGCGGAAATTAGGGTGCACATTAGATTCGATGGCACATTTGTGGGATGTAAACACAGGAGCAGTCAATCACAACATTCCTAGAGTGTACATGTTAGAACATGGGGAGGGATGTCTGTCCAGCAAGCAGGTAAACTTCCTGGGGACGGACTTCCTCCGCATGTGACCAGAGGTGGGTGTGGCCTCACCTGTGCAGGTAAGGACAAAAGCACAGGGCAGGCAGCCATCTCTCTCTCTCTGCCATTTTCCTTCGACGAGGAAGCATCTAAAGATGCTCTCTTGGCTCTCAGCCAAGAGAGGAGGAAAGGACTATCTTGCTATAAGATAGATTCTGAATGTATATTACCTTTTTAAGCCTGTCTGCCTTCTGGGATCATATTGTGAACAGAAGGTGAGTAAACTCTTTTATACTTTTATAAAGACTGTGTTGTGTCTTGTATTTTAAGAGGGAACAAAGGGGAAATTACCAGGGTAATTATTATAGAGGTTCTAGCGAACCTGTGCACACGTTACCGTTGCGTACTTAAAGGGGAATGTTTATAAACTCTGCTGATATTTTGGGAACTTGTTAGCACAAGTTGGATAAGGATATAATTAGTCAATATATCCTCTCCTGCACCCCAGAACATTCCCACAACATTTACATTTGCCAGCAAATACCTTTTTTGGCTTGAAGGTTCTGAAAATTGAGGCACGCATTAGATTTGATGGCGCATTAGACTCAAGTAAATACGGTGATTCTTATTGCTAAGCTAACAGCATCCTAAAGAGAACACTGTACAGTCGTACCTTGGAAGTCAAACAGAATCCATTCGACTTCCAAAACATTCAGAAACCAAAGTGTGACTTCTGATTGGCTGAAGGAAGCTCCTGCAGCCAATCAGAAGTTGCAGTAACCCTTTCAGATGTTTGGGTTCCAAAGAAGGTTCGCAAAATGGAACATTCACTTCTGGGTTTGCGGCATTTAGGAGCCAAAACGTCCAAGTACCAAGGCGTTCAGAATCCAAGGTATAACTGTACTGGGGTGGGGGGGAGGGAGAGAGAAAAGAAACAGAGCTTTCTATATGAAAGTTCAGTTTTGGAGGAAGCAGCTTTGTGGCAGCTGTTGGGCACCAAAACATTTCCATTGTACAACCTGAATTTGGCTGTTATGTGATTGAATCCCATGTGGAGCTAGCAGCTGTCATGCTCAGCACATACTCTGGATGGTGCCAAACTGAAGTCCATCGATTTCAGTGTGTCTACTTGGGGGAGATCAGCCTAATAATAACTAATCTTGGATACAGTCGGCCTTTCTGACAAGCTAGTCTGAAAGAACAGCAGGGGAACCAGCCTCTCTTGCACTGCACACTTCAAACTTTGGCTTCTCCAGGGACCAAAGTCCACTTTCCCAGGGCATCAAAATTCATAAGCATTGCACGGCTCTCAGGAATCTATTTCGATATCCATTTTTCTTCCTTTTGCAAAATTTCAATTTAGCAATAAAAAGCAGCATGATGTATCTGCCTCGCTCGCTGTGCGAGGGCTTTGAAAGGCTCTCAGAAATATATAATGAATTCATCAAAGGCGTAGCACTCAATATCAGTAATCCAAGCCATAAAATGTATTGCCATAAAATATGATAACCACTTACAGTCAGGACTAAATTAGCCAAGTGCTATGAGCTGCCTGGGCAGCCGGCTCCATTTTTAACCTGACTTGGCAATGGGACACAAATTTCACTTCCAATTTAAACACACCAGACATCTGTAATTCATATTCAATTTACTTCTAACAGAAAAAGAGAAATATGTATATATAAAGAAATAACGAAGAGGAACTGTCAGAGTGATGGCAGCAGTGGGGGGTAACTTAGCATAGATTCCTGTTGAGGGGAATCAGAGTGTGTTTTGCTCCTGAAGTAGACACTGCAGGCCACTTCTTGTAACATGAGATGGATATGATAACTTAAGATGTCACGAATCTCCCAGGATGAAGTCCATCATCATCCATTTCCTCTGCCCAAGGCAATTTCCAGCAAAACATCTATTTATGTTTTGTATTTTGGCATGCTGTCTTACTCTTTATTTGATTCAGTTATAGGCCTTGTATATGTTCTGCATACATTTATTTCCCTTGCAGTGAACGCTGCACCATGGGTCTTGTAGTTTCAAGACTGCATGATCGTACAGTCTTCATATGGGTTGGGTATTTTGCTCAAAGCCACAATCTGTTGTGGGGTTTGTGGTCTTACAGTTGCAAAGGGTACCAGCAGAAGTTCTTGTTAACAGACTGTGCTCCCAGAACAGGGTTTTGAGCACCTGTTTCAATGCATCATGCATTTTGTAGTCTTAGGTAAAGGTAAAGGGACCCTGGACCATTAGGTCCAGTTGTGACCGACTCTGGGGTTGCGGCGCTCATCTCGCTTTATTGGCCAAGGGAACCGGCGTACAGCTTCCGGGTCATGTGGCCAGCATAAATGGCAGAACTCTGAAAACCGTAAAAATTAAGTTATTTGCACTGCAAGAATGCAGGTAGGTAAGGTAAAGGACCCCTGGATGGTTAAGTCTAGTCAAAGGGGACTATGGGGTGTGGCACTAAGGAGTAAACCCTACACAAATTCAGAGTGGAGTCTGTTATGTACTGAAGTTCTCACCCTGGGCCAGCAGGGGGATACTGTAGATAGTTATGCAAATGAAGGATCGAAAGTGACGTTCAGTGATTGGATAGTTTTAGAAAATGGCAACAGTTACATTGTTCTGGAGCTCTATATAAGCAGGCTGACTGAGCTCCTCAGGCAGTTCTGTTCCAGCTTACAAATAAAGAGCTGCTTTGGAAGAATCGCTGTGTCGTCTGATATGTTCGCCCACAACTTAACAGAGTCCCCAAGGCGTTTGGATGGCATTTTGTATGCCTCCTTCTGGCAACTCCTCCAGCCAAGATGGTGCCAAACATATTGCACTGTTTTCCTCTGGACCGCCTCAGTGAGGTTGGGGGGTGGGTCTTGTTATCTGGACAGCCCAGGACCTCCAGACGCACCGTCCGGGCTTGCACCCCAGAGAGATCACGTTGGTGCTGCAAATACACCCCACAGCATTTATTTCAATGCAAAGAAAACACAGTGTAAATAAAAGGACAAAACATATATTGTTTGAAGTCCGAAACAAGAACAGTGTATACCAATTATATGTTGCTGGATTGATTTCTGTTCTGTACATGGAATGAATAAGCAAACACCAGCAATTTCTGTTCCCACTGGAGTTCTCTGACATTCCTACCCCAGACCACACACTTGTTCCTAAAACCCCATACAGAGCAGGTCATCTACCTAATTCCCAGTTCTAGCAACTAGGAATCTCTTTCAGGGAGAAAGACATCTTACTCAAGGAGCTAATTCCCAGTTGTCTCACTTTCCATTGCCCACTAGCCACTTAAGCGACACTCTTTCCCCATCCCATCCATCCATCAGAAGGAAGGAATTTTCTTATTCTCAAAAAGTTGAGCCACAACCTGTGGCCTCGTTGCCTGCAATAGCAGCTGGGAGAAACTAGCCAAGCATACAAATTTAGGGGACCTTGTTCCACCCAATCTATGGAGCCCCAGCTAACGAAGCATCAAGGCAAGTTAAATAGTGGAGCAAGGAACATGCAATTTCAATGCTTAGTGAAAGCAACAACTCAGACAAGTTGTGTGCTAGGAGTCAATTCAGCAGCTGAATTCTGGGGATAGGAAGTCTGTAGAAGCCTAGTTTTCAGGGAAGCTTGAGGGTCCGACAGGTGATTCCCCATAAGGGAATGAGGACCTTTGGTTGGAAAAGGTCTTGAACCTCAGCTCTTTCTCCATAGAAATATGATTGGGGATAGTAAAGGTAAAGGGACCCCTGACCATTAGGTCCAGTTGTGGCCGACTCTGGGGTAGCGGCGCTCATCTCGCTTTATTGGCTGAGGGAGCCGACGTACAGCTTCCGGGTCATGTGGCCAACATGACTAAGCCGCTTCTGGTGAACCAGAGCAGTGCAAGGAGATGCCGTTTACCTTCCCGCCGGAGTGGTACCTATTTATCTACTTGCACTTTGACGTGCTTTCGAACTGCTAGGTTGGCAGGAGCAGGGACCGAGCAATGGGAGCTCACCCAGTCGTGGGGATTCGAACCACTGACCTTCTAATCGGCAAGTCCTAGGCTCTGTGGTTTAACCCACAGCACCACCCGCATCCCCATGATTGGGGATAAGATGGTCTTAAAACATCCTTTTCTTTCCCCCTGCACACTCTGTTTTCTCCTTTGAAAAACAACAACTCAGGGCTGATTGCCATAAATTACACAAAGGCCACACTTCATCATCCCAGGGCAGGCATTGTCATTTACGGCTGAGGCCATGAAATGTTTGCACGTTGTAAAGAGGGCATAACGGCATGTTGTCTTTCCTTAATCATATCAGCCAAACGATTTGCTACTAAGTGCCATAATGGATTTTTAATTAATGCGATTATCGCCATCCCTGCTTACAGCTCTTGACCCTGCAGATATATTGCGAAGGTTGAACTTGGTGGGAATCCCTCCCAAGCACCACTGCGGGGGCCGAGAGGCGACGAGGAGAAGGAGGCATCATTGACCAGTGAGGACCTGGAACTCGGAACAAAAGCACTTCCTGCCTGGCTAGGTGAAACTCATTACAATTTCAGAGGATATGGCCAGCTAGGACAAGGATGGGGAACAGAGAGCCAGTGTGGTGTAGTGGTTAAGAGCGGTGGACTCGTAATCTGGTGAATCGGGTTCGCGTCCCCACTCCTCCACATGCAGCTGCTGGGTGACCTTGGGCCAGTCACACTTCTCTGAAGTCTCTCAGCCCCACTCACCTCACAGAGTGTTTGTTGTGGGGGAGGAAGGGAAAGGAGAATGTTAGCCGCTTTGAGACTCCTTCGGGCAGTGATAAAGCAGGATATCAAATCCAAACTCTTCATCCTCTTCATCCAGATATTAGAATCACAGAACTGTAGTATTGGAAGGGACCCCAAGTGCCATCTAGTCCCATCCCTTGCAATGGAAGAATCACAGCTAAAACTATGAAGAATCCCTGGCAGAAAACCACCTAACCACTATTACCCTGTTTTCCTGAAAATAAGACAGTGTCTTATTTTAATTTTTGCTCCCCAAAATGCGCTAGGTCTTATTTTCAGGGGATGCCTTACTTTTCCATGAAGAAGAATACGGTACACATTTATTGTCTAATTGTGAGTCAGCCAGACTCCGTCAGGGCAGAGTGAGCAGCAGGCGGCAGCTTGTCCTGGTGGCTGCGCAGTGGCACCCGTCGCTACGGTCCAGAGGTGTCAGATGCCTTACAGTAGTTTTGGGGTCCTTATATTCCAGGGAGGCCGTATTATTAAGGAGGTCTTATTTTCGGGGGGGGGGGGATGCCTTATATTACAGCGAGAGGCAAAATTGGAAGTAGGTCTTATTTGGGGGGGGGGGATGTCTTACTTTCAGGGAAAGACTGTAAAAAACTTTCAATGAAGGATAGTCCATCACCTTCTAAGGCCCTCCGTTCTACTGTCAAACAGCTCCTACTGTCAGAAATTTTTTCCTAATGTTTAGTTGGAATCTCCTTTCCTGTCAATTGAAGCCATCAGTTTGAGACCGCCCCTCTGGAGCAGAAGAAAACAAGCTCTCTCCATCTTCCTTGTGACAGCTCTTCAGATATTGGAGGATGGCTACCATGTGGCTTCTTAGACTTCTCTTCTCCAGGCTGAGCATCCCCCAACTCCCTGTGCTGTTCTTCAAAAGGCTTGGCGTCCAGACCTTTGATCATCTTGGTCACCCTCCTCTGCACACCTTCCAGCCTGTGAATAGCCTTCTTAAATTGTGGTGGCCAGAACTGGACACAGTACTCCAGGTCTGGCCAAAGCAGAACAGAGGAGGACTATTACTTGTTTGATGGTCAGGGATGATGGGAATTGTAGTCCAGCTACATCTGGAGGGCCACAGTTTCCCCACCCTTATTCTACATGACTGATTGCTTCATAGGACATTGAATGCAATCCTCCTGTCCCCCTGCTTCTAAAAGAGAAGTGAGTGGGTTCACAACAGACTGTTGTGGTTGTGGTTCTGCTACTATGATGGTACAGTGGTACCTCGAGTTACAGACATTTCAGGTTACGGACTCCTCTAACCCAGAAATGGTACCTTGGGTTAAGAACTTTGCTTCAGGAAGAGAACAGAAATCGTGCTCCGGCGGCATGGCAGCAGCAGGAGGCCCCATTAGCTAAAGTGGTGCTTCAGGTTAAGAACAGATTCAGGTTAAGAACGGACCTCCAGCACTTTAAACCTGACCCTGTACTCCACCGGGAGCCAGTGCAGTTGGCTTTCAACACTGCTGCCCTAAACTTCTCGCAGCTGACCCAAGGTGGGGGCACAGAACAGGTGAATGCCGAGAGAATCAAATCCTGCACCCCACCGCACCAGAAAGGAAGTGAATGAAAATGAGCTGTAATTGCCAGGACTGTTTTAATCCCAGGCTGGCTGGATGAATGAAAGACTAGGAAAGACTAGCCAGTGCCATGTACGCTGGTGAATCAAACACTTTTTCCAGCTGATTTTCTCTCTCTTTCTCAATCCCCCACGCCACTGCCTGACTGTGTAAAGGCCACAGGTTATGGTTACAACGGAAACATGTTCAGAGGAGAGCCTATGACAACTGCTCTGAAGTATCCCCAGATGGTTCCTTGTATAATTTCCTTTGACCTTTACTCAAAAGAGCTGTCTCTTTCCTCCCAGAAAACAATCCTTTAGCTAATAGGCACTTGGGACTTTGCCACAGACAGGGGATTTTGCTGACTCACATTTTGCTCTACTGCAGAATGGGAGCATCAGGGCAAGTTTTTTGCCCTGGGGCTAAATGAATGCCCACCCCCCCTTCCTTCCAAATCCCAGTTCTCCTCCACCCATCTCCATGGCAAATATTTCCTGGGTACCCTCTCTGGGCTTGAAAGCCTTCCGTGAAGATTCAGTATCGGCATTTGATGTCTGAACTACTTGACAAGATTTGATACCTGACATTCAGCAGGAGAACATCACTTTCGTGAGAGGAAGTCAACGTTTGGGCTGGTGTTGATATGCTAGCACCATCGTTATATCACTGGTATACAGAGCGCTGTGCAGAATTTCAAACTAGGTAGCGGGTGGAATTCATTATGTTCCCTCCCTCCTTCTGCAGGAAATTAAACCAGATTTGCTTGTGGATCACAACACAACTTGCAGCCATACTGAGAAGAAGAGAAGACGACAACGACTTTGGATTTGATATCCCGCTTTATCACTACCCTAAGGAGTCTCAAAGTGGCTAACATTCTCCTTTCCCTCCCTCCCCCACAACAAACACTCTGTGAGGTGAGTGAGGCTGAGAGACTTCAGAGAAGTGTGACTAGCCCAAGGTCACCCAGCAGCTGCATGTGGAGGAGCGGGGAATCGAACCCGGTTCACCAGATTATGAGTCCACCACTCTGAAGCACTACACCACACTGGCTCTCAGTGAGAAAAGAAATGACTTATTCACACAGCAAATAAACTGTGGACCTCATTTGCACAGTAGGTAGGGATGGCTACCAAACTGGATCTTGTCCAACATCCTCTTCTCATAGTGGCCAACCAGATGCCTGTAGCAAAAAAGCAGGATTTGAACACAAGAGCACTCTTCCTCTACTTATGGTTTCCGGCAACTGGTATTCAGAAGCATCGCTGCCTCCGACCGTGGAGACAGAGAACAGCCACCATGACTAGGAGCCATCAATAACCCTCTCCATGAATTTGTCTAATCCTCTTGTAAAGCTGTCTAGTGGCCACCACACTCTCCTGTGGGAGCGAGTTCCACAGATTAACTGTGTGTTGCATGAAGAAGTCCTCTCTCTTATCTGTCCTGATCAATTGTTACTAGAAGCTGTATCTACAAACTGGTCCTTCAGAGGATGGCGAGGAAACCTGACCAAATGCTTCAGTCCTTGTTCAAGTGACAGCCCTGATGCCCTGCAATATCCAATGATGCTGAGGACATTTGTTTGTGCCTCTGCTAATTTGCTTTTAATTGGCATTTCAGCAATTGGTTGCTACAATTTCCTTTGATGCAGCAAAAGAGTGTCTGGGAGGGAGGATGTAAGAAATCTCTTTGCCTGGAGGTGAAAGCGTTTCAGTGTTTGCGCCAGACCGGTCTCCTTGGGGGTAGGAATTTCACCAGCAGGGTGTTGACTCCTTTGGCACCGCAATTTCCTGAGCTCCACTACAGGCAGTCCAGATGAACCAGCTGGCATGTGACCACAAAGAAATGCCTAACACATATCTCATCTCTCTGTGTGCCACTGTGAACTTCAAGGCAGGGGGACCGGTAGTGGCAAGAGTCTGCTGTGTTGGAGACAACAGAGTCTACTCTGCGCCAAATGACTCTTTCTTTCTGCTGTAAGCCAGACAATCGCCACTAAAAGTCAGAAACATGAGGAGTTAGGAGTCCAGTGTTGTTTATTACAAAGCAATAGGTTACAGTCGGATCGTTCCGCAAAAATGCAACCCCGCCCAGTGGTCCAGGTATTTATAAAATTCCAAACAAAGCATTTCAGTTTTCATCAGTCATATACATCATTACCCCATTTCATGTTTACTACACATGAGTAATAAGCATCTTAAAAAGCAGAGGCATCACCTTGTCAACAAAGGTCCGTATAGTTAAGGCTATGGTTTTCCCAGTAGTGAAGTATGGAAGTGAGAGCTGGACCATGAAGAAGGCTGATTGCCAAAGAATGGATGCTTTTGAATTCTGGTGCGGGAGGAGACTCTTGAGAGTCCCGTAGACTGCAAAAAGATCAAACCTCTTCATTCTGAAGGAAATCAGCTCTGAGTGCTCACTGGAAGGACAGATCCTGAAGCTGAGGCTCCAAGACTTTGGCCACCTCATGAGAAGAGAAGACTTCCTGGAAAAGACCCTGATGTTGGGAAAGATGGAGGGCACAAGGAGAAGGGGACGACAGAGGACGAGATGGTTGGACAGTGTTCTCGAAGCTGCTAACATGAGTTTGACCAAACTGTGAGAGGCAGTGGAAGACAGGAGTGCCTGGCGTGCTCTGGTCCATGGGGTCACGAAGAGTCGGACACGACTAAACGACTAAACAAATCAACAAGCACTGGCAATTTCTGCTATTTTAAGTTCTGATTCCCACGGTGTTCTGTTACATTGTGTTAGTGTGCATGCTGGGAAACTGTGTTACGTGTAGCCATTTGCACCATGTAGCAACGTACGTTCTAGCTTTGAGCTGTATCTTTGTGATTCACATATTAGCTGCCCCAGTTTGGTGTGTGTGTGTGTGTGTGGCAACTTTCAGAATCATCAGTTTCATAAAGTAACAGGCTACCATAGCTTCTCTATTAGAATCACACTCAAGGATTTACAGGGGTACACAATATCACATTTATTGTGGCCCTTTGGACCACTCTCACATCCCTCCCTTTCAAGCTTAAAGGTGCGAGATTCCCCGTACTGTTCTCACAGGGTGTCAAGGATGGTTCTCAGATTCAATATATTTGGGGACAACAATCCACCGCGGGCCTCGTTTGTCAAATCAGCTTTCTTGTGTGTGGGGGGGAGCAAAAAACAAGAGCCATAAACATCCAAGGAGCTTCTACCAAACTGTGTCAGTTCAGAGCCATGACAGTTCAGAGCCATCCTGTCTTGGAAAAAGCAGCAAACAAGGAAACAAAAAATATTGGTGCTTGCTAAGAAGTGAGTTGTAAATGGTTTGGGATAACAAGGAGAAACTATAGCTTTGAGTAGTAGTAGTAGTAGTAGTAGTAATAATAATAATAATAATAATAATAATAATAATTTATTATTTGTACCCCGCCCATTTGGCTGGGTCTCCCCAGCCACTCTGGGCAGCTTCCAACAAAGATTAGAAATACATTAAAATGTCACACATTAAAAACTTCCCTAAACAGGGCTGCCTTCAGAAGTCTTCTAAATGTCAGGTAGTTGTTTATCTCTTTGACATCTGCTGGGAGGGCGTTCCACAGGGCAGGTGCCACTACCGAGAAGGCCCTCTGCCCGGATCCCTGTAACTTGGCTTCTCGCAGTGAGGGAACCGCCAGAAGGCCCTCGGAGCTGGACTTCAGTGTCCGGGCAGGACGATGGGGGTGGAGACGCTCCTTCAGGTATACTGGGCCGAGGCCGTTGAGGGAACCATATTAATGTCCCGGAGCATATGTTTGGACTGCAGAAGGTCTCAATTCCTGGAAACAGCACCCAGGGAGCTA